TTTGAAACTAAATGAGAATTCTGACTTGAAGTGGACACAAGATCATCCCAGTGTTCTCCCTCCAACTTCACTTTATTCCTCAAATCATGAAGTTTCTCCAGTTCTTGTTGCAAATAAGCCTGCATCCAGGTTGTATATTACACACACTTGAGAGAAATATATAGTGACACATTGCTGGTGAGAAAAGGGCAAAAAATATATGATATATGAACCAATTCCGGGAAATAACCTTCGGTAGCTGCTTACCTCTTCGGCACATAGGCCACGAAATTCAGCAGTCATTTCATGAGCTAAGTTTGACCACATAGCCTGCCGTTGCACAGCCATTTCTGCATTCTTAAGAAACTTTCTTCTTTCAAGTGCTATTCTAGCCTATTTGGGACAAGGGACATAATTTAGTTACTCAAGTTCAAGTCATTTGTTTCTAAAGAAATGATCAAGATAAATAATACAACATGTTACCATGACTAGAAAACCAAGAGTGACATCACCCAATAAAATGTTAATTACCAAGAGTGCTAAAGAGTATGCTAGGCAAAGATATTATAATATTCTTCTAACACAAACCTTCATATTGAGCAATATGGCAAAAGAAGTCAAAGTGAACTAGAAACATACATCTTAAAACATTACAAGATATATAATATGAGACTTGAAAACAACTACATCTATAAAATCATCATAATAGAAAAGGATGTGAAAGATTAACCTCAGAAGTCCTTTCATTCTCCAGTAGACAAGCCAAACACTTCATTGTTGTTTCAATTACAAGGTTGCATGCATATAGTCAGGATTGATTCGATCTTTGGATAAATTTTTTAATTTTTAATAATTATTAGTAATACCTTTGTCACAGGAAGTAGAGTAGCTGCATGTGAGAATGCTACATCAGTCAATGGAGCAGGCAACGGGTTAGAAGCTACATCAGCAGCAAATGTTCGTCTGTGAACCTCTCGCAAAGCATGCAAGGAAAGCTGCCATAGAAGTTCAACAAACCTGCACCACCATGTACATCTGAATAACTTGAATGCTCCTCAACAGAAATATAAATTCCAAGCCTTCATATGCAATATACACATGAGATTCCCCAGTGGCATTCTAATCAAGATTTGTTTGAATGGCATTTTGTACTTGAAAAAGTTGAATTTGGGAAGAAAAAGTTCTTCTCACTAACTTTCTTAACTTTCAGAAATAACAATTGCCCCCTAAGTTTGTAGACACTACAATCTCATCTTTTCAATGACCATAAAAACATTTTTTAAAAAAAACATGCTTTGCATAAAAACAACGCATTAAGAACAACAACATCTAAATTTGCTTGTCACCAACAGACACTGTACAATGCATTGCCTAAAAACCACAAAAATGTTAACATTTTCCTGCTAGTAATTGGATCAGGATAACAAGCAGATGTAATAAACTAAATATGCTGGTGAATAAAACTCCGACAGAACCAGCAAAAATGTACATGTTTCAAGGGGATATATTCTACACTTTTTCCCAGAAATCAACAGTGCAGATCAAAACTGAGGATTTCAGGGGGGCAAATGTGAGCCGGAAAGAGAGAGAAAACAGAAGAATCGACCTTGGTCCACAACAGGTAGCAAGCGAAGAAACTCTTGAATTGCTCCTCGGAAGCGCACCCTGCGACTCGAGCTCGCTAATAATCCCTTGCACGACCTAGTAATAAAATTCCAGCGCTATTTAAATAGATTCATTTCTAATTTAAATTCAAACGGGGAAGAGAAAAAAGAACCAAAACCCGGAAAACAGTGCTAGAGAAATACCAAAGTACCTACAATTGTACTTAAATAGTAATACCTTACGGAAATCACGCGATTGCGCCGAATCAAAAATCGGCCAAACCTTATCAAAATCCTGAAGATCCAAAAAAGGTTACAGTTAGGGGCAAATCACACAAAAATTTAGAAGCATCCGCCAAAACAGGCAAACAGGGATGGGTGGATGTAATGTATATGTGCAAGTGGTGAAACATGAAGAGTTGGCAAAATATCAGAAGAGAGAAGGTACTTTAGCGGATTGAACTGGGCCTCTGAGGGAAGAGAGTATGAAGTAGAGGAGCTGTTCACCCAATTTAGGGTTGGAATGGCGGAAGAGTCCGACGCGAGGGGTGCCATTGGAGGCTCCAACTCCGATAATAGCCGGATCCAGACCTAACAGCAAACAGTTAGTATACATTGCACTCTCTAGCTCTATCTCCCTCTCCTTCTCCCTGTCCATCGTCATCACCGAGCCCACCCTCCCTCTCTCTCTCTAGATTGTTGCAGCAGCAACTTTCTTCCTTGCCGTTCCTTATCTAAGCTTCCTTTTGAATTCTTTCTGATCCTGCTCGATTGTCTTTCTTTATTTCCGCTCACTCCATCCCACGGAATGTCTTTCTAGAAAACGCAGGTCGGGGTCCCCTTGTGTTTGATATTACGAAACGGACCATAATTTGAATCAGCAGAGGCTTATTATTTTTAATCTTTTGCGAAGCAAATATGGGGGAAGGGCCGGGGCCTGTGATAATTTAAATTAATTGTTTATTGCTAATCATGTAACTACTAGTGTTTTTAGTTTATGATGGTTGATGGGACCCTCCGGACTCACGTTCAGCCAACTCAAGAATTTGAAATGCCGCAGGCACGGTTGGAGTTTGGCAAAACGCGTTGTCGTCGCGGCCGGCCGGTTTAAGTCGTTACGCATTGTCGTTTAACGGTTTGCACTGCGAGGAAAATAAGAAAACGACAAAACTAACCCACGTCTTCCAGTTCCTTTATTTTTTAAAATGTCAAGAATGATATAAAATGCTGCATATTTCGATTGGGTTTTTTACATGAAAGAATTACAATCAAATCCCATACAAGAAAAATAACTACTAAAAGGTGTAATAACAATTTGAGCAGCTTATAATGACAAATTTTAAAGTGAAGAATAACAAACTTTGAGATTGGATATCATTTATACCAAACTTCCAAAACAATGAATGTGCAATTATTGATCTCATATCTCAGCGTGAAGTTCGTTTAAATGATTCTGTTTTAATAAAAAAAAATTATCGCAATAAACCTTGATGGTGAGCTGGTGATTGTAATTGCAACTGCCGCTTACTAATTAAAAACCTGGTTTGTTGAAAGGATAAAAATTGAAGACTAGATTAAAACAGATGAAACGCTTGAGAGGCATCAGAAAGTAACTTGAATATTATGAAAAAAATAATGATAAAAAAACTGCAAGAAAGCAAAAACAGTAAATTAAAAAAAAAAAAAAAAACGGGGAAAGAAAGTGAATCACTTGCTGTGCAGTGTTTAATGATTTCCGAAACTTTACTTCTCTCCATTGCGATGCGAAAAAGGCAAAGCTTCCTTTGAAATCATCTTTTATTGCGGTGGAAGCTACTCATTTCGTCACCCCCTTGTGTGGTTCTTCATTTTAATTGGATATCCGCGTTGACATTTGCATCGTTTGTTCTGTGATTGAAGATCCAGAAAAAAAGGTGTCATCAAAAAAAAAGTAAACCCAGAGCTGAAAAATTAGATTACATAAAACTTAGCTTTTAAGGGCCACATGAGTACATAAGAGATCGGCTATGACACTTCCAAGTGTACCCCATTGGGCCGCCTGACGTAAGGAGAACGGGCTAGCCCATCACGTAGCCTGCAATTGCGAACCCATGGGCTTGACATTATCTAGGTCGGACCTACTCCTTCTGCGTCGTGAATGGTAAACTCTTTCCAGTTAAGGTACTTTCCTTCGCCATGGAAATGACTAACGAATTAAAATTTAAATTTTTAATTAAAAAAATATTCATATTTAGTACCTGTAGTGTTTCAAATAGAATTATTTTGAATAAGAAGATACCTGTGTCTATAAAAAAAATTGTTTTGACCCCAAATTTAACTCACCTATTTTTTTTTAACAAAAAAAAGGTATTTTCCTTCATTCAGGTATTTTTGCTCTCACACTTTCTTTTCTTTTTGTTATCGTTGTTGTTGTTAGAAGTATCATAAAGAACACGACATTTTCTGAAAAGTACGTCATAATCTCATGCGAACTTGAATAATTTACATCATCGTTACCTTTGATTGATATTACCTTATGAAGTATACTAGAAAATTTAAAAAAATATACTCTTCCGGTTCTCAATATAGGACCTAATTGTTGAATTAGTTTTAGTCTTAAATATAAGACTCATTTCTCGTATTTATCACTTTTCTCTAAATTATTCCTATCGATACTCTTTCAACCATAATCAAGTAGAAGAAGGAAAATGGGTATTAAGAAAGATGATTATGGTGTTTTAGGAAAAACATGTCATATTTCTTATAATTAACTAACTTACCTAACTTTCTTAATCTAATCAAATTAGTTAAATGAATCTTGTATTAAGGACCGGAAGAGCATATAAACGCACATCAATATCATCAGTTCAGATTTGTTTCTGAAACTGGTCAAAAAAGACTGGTTTCTGAAAAAATTTAACATGTCTTTTATATACTGCACGGAGTGTAAAAGAAAAAAGAAATCAAATTGTGCTCTAGCTCAACTTTTTATATTTTTTATATTTCGCATCAATAGACAAAAGATCCAAACACCATTCTATGAATTAATTATCGGACTGGATAAAAAGATACCTTCTTTTGGTTTTTTGGCCGAACCTTTGGATGCGGAAGGGTGTTGATATTATTGTTAATACCTGATGAAACCAAAAAAATGTATTTAGACATCCTTAGGTGAAAACCGACCAAAAAAAACCATCAATTAAAAATAAACACCGATTTTAATAGAAAATATAAAAATTAAGGATCGAAATAAGAGTAAGAATCAAGCGAGAACTCTGCACGTACGGTCGTGCAAAGCGATAGACTTGCTGGAGAAGGAAAGGGTAAAACTAAAATCACCGATATGGTCCACTGTGCAAAGGCGGGCCACCCTGGGCCCAGGTACGAGTCCCTGGAGGCACATGTACGTTGGTGTTCTTTAATTCGCTTCCCACTTTTTGGCGCAAAAAAAAGAAAAAGAAAAAGAAAATCTCGCTCCCCACTCTTCTTTCTCTCTCATGGTTCTGGATGATCCCTTTTCTTTAACTTCGAAGAGGAGAAGGGTCACAGCGATTGATTCCATGGATGCTGAAGAAGCTAAGGTCATCGATTTTCTTTCTTTCTTTCTTTCTCGTCCGATAATTTTCTTCTTTTTTCCTCATCTAGGTTTGGTTATTTTCTGCCTTGTGTGCTTTGCTTGTTGCATCCCTCAAGATTTGTTCTTGGGGTTTCTTGCAAGTTTTCTTCCTCTCTCTATTATTTCCCTTAATGGAAAGCTGAGGAATTTCTAGTTTTTAGTACTATCCGTGGGTTGAGGTGTTTCTTTGGATTGACATTAATATCTGCCTGTGTCAAAACATGAAATTTGACACCTGATGATGGAAACTTTTGAAACTCGCAGCAACTAAACAACTGGAATTGGAACATCGAATATTAATAGTTGATTCGGGCAGAAAGTGCAAGACTCTGCGTTATTAGATAACACTCCGTATATAACACAGTACTTTGATATACCCTCAAACCTTGATCTGGTGGCGATGCGGAATCCATCCTTTGTTTATGTGTGCTCGATGCTAGCTCAAACCTTCTCGGGTTGTACGGACATCACTTAATTTTCAATGGCGAGTATGAAATAGAAAATATCAGCTTTATGTGGCCGTTTAATCTTGGCTCCTTTCAAGCTCTATGACGCACAATTGCTTCCTTTATCTGCTGTTTTACTTAATGCTCTTTCTTTTCTGCACCAGGCCAAGCTTGCAGCTATCAAGGAAAGGTTTGGACGAGATATCCGTGTATTTGAAACATCGCCAGTTTCTGCAGCACCAAATACTGCCACCAACAATGGTAATAGCACCTTAACTTCCAAACTTCCTAGACCTTTTGAAAAGTGTGATCTAAATTATTAAGAGTTTTATGTACAATCTGACTTTGCTATCCTGAATTAACTTTATTCTCTTGTTGGCATTTTGGTGGCAGAAGAGACTGATGATTTCTATGAGTTCACTGCTGAAGATTATTATCGACTGTTAGCTACTAAAAAGGACGGTGAGAATTATACTTCATATCCAATGATCCAAGAAGCGAGTTTGTACCAACCACAAACTGCCAAAAATCAGTGTTCTGTTTTACCGGAAGGATATGTCAATGTGTTTGAATTCTAATGAGGACTTGAATTATAAAGAGGCTATATGTTCACCAAATTGATTTACACTTCATCCAAAATGAATCTAAAATTCTCTTTCTTGGGATCCGTCAGAATTGTTACAGGCCTAATATCTTAAGGATAATTATTTCCAAGGACCAGGAAGTATATAATCTTCTAATTTGAGAAGTATTTTATAGTAATCTTGCATAAGCATGCATTAACACTAAATATTTTCAATTGATATATAACAGGGATCAATGAAAAGCGTATGCATTACAGGAAAATCATTAATGTTAGGTGCATGTTTCGGGGTGCATACAGAAAGAACATTTGATTTTTCATGAATGTGGAAATTTAAATGTATTGGTTATGTACAGATAAATTCTTGAAGACTCGCAAAATCCGAGAAGCAGAAGAGGCAGCTCGTAGATCAAGAATAACCAAAGTAATGCCTTTTTAAAAAAAAAAAAAAAAATTCTTGTATTCATTGCCACCGATGCATAAAAGTTTTCTTTCTTTCTTTCTTCCATTAAGTTATAAATATGTAACTGCTAGACTAATGAAGTCTGGGAGGGGTAAACTTAACTTTTTAAGTTTATCTGTTCGTGTTTCCAGACTGTGATTAGAGTTCGGTTTCCTGATAATCACACATTAGAGGCTGCCTTTCACCCTTCAGAAACGCTCCAGAGCCTAGTTGATCTCCTCACCAAAGTGATTGCACAACCAGAGCAGTCATTTTATATCTGTAAGCATACTGATAACTTCTATCAGATCAAAATTTTGTTTGAATGGATGATGACCAATTTTATTGTTTGAATACCCTAAACTCTTTTACCACCAGCTGACTCTGCCCAAAGTCATATCTGACATCTTGGAGCGTGGAAAGCCTTTACATATTGTAGCATATGGCCTTTATTCAGCATTTTTTTTTGTTTTTTTTGGTGGTGCAGATACCACTCCACCAAAGAAGCTGATTAAAGACATGTCTCAAGATTTTTATACTGCTGGCTTTTGCCCTGGGGCCATTGTATACTTTTCATACGATCCTCCCCTAGGTGAGTTCATGCAGTCTGTAGAATCTTTTTTGAATGTTGCCCCTTGATCTGTTCTAAATTTCATTCATTGTCTGACTAGAACATTTGTTTTACAAAACCACTCATTCTTCCTTTTGTGTCGTGTTTTGTTTGCTATGGTTCATAGCTGGTTGATTGTTTGTGATGTGCACCATGGCATGGACATGTATTGTGTTTGTGAGGGTTTGTGATAATATGCATAATTACACATATTTTAAAATTTAAATTCCTTTGAATTTCAGTTGGTGTTTAAGTTATTTATCAATGTCTGCAGATGCACTAAATAATGTGTAAAACTACATTCCATTAATTTACTGCCTAATTCTCAAAAGGAAAAAAAAACTGCATAGTACGTTGTTAAAGTACCACATGACTAGCATAGAATGTACGACGCTTAGACAGCTAAAAGGATGGAATTGAGGAGATGAACATGGGAGGTGGGCACAATCAATGAGTCGGGAACATGACTAGTGCATAAGTGGAGGTGAGAGGGGAGAGGAACAACTAGCTTATTACTCCACGGGAGGTTCCACCAACAGCACGGTTACTTATTTTTTCTGTTTAATTGTTTAATTATTGCATTTTCTAGCACTTATATGTTCTGTTGGTAGGTGTAGGAGTAGGCATTGAGTATTATTTGCTTGTTGTGTGTTTGGGAGATTCTCCTTTGCTGATTGATTTGGAAGAGTGAGATTCTCTCAACCCTTTCTAGTGGATTATTATTTTCGCTTCTTCTATTGAAGTTATTATATGTCCCACTTAGTTAAGAGGCTTGTTGTTGTTGCATTTATGATTTCAGCTTTTAGCATTACTTTCTTCAATAGAAACTCCCTTTAATTCACCTCTAGCAATTAGATTATATCGTGGATCACCATTATAATACATGAAAGTATAGCAAGCCACATTGTTTACGATTTGTGAACGGTGAGGTTCATTTTAGACTCTGTATCCCCACCCCAAATCATTTTTATTACTAATTAATTAAAACTGTATTAATACAGAGGCTGTAGTAAACACATTCACCTTCTAAGGCATTCACCAAGAATTGACTTTCTAAAAGTTTCCTTGTATAAATGTAATCTTCAGGTGAAAGCTCGAACCATACGGGGCCTTTCCTACTAGAGGATATCGTGTCTTTGAAGGGGTTGGATGTTACTAATGATCAAGGCCAGCAGTCTGAACCTGCACAGTCTGCACCAGAACCTGTTGAAGCTTCACAAACCCCTGCTGTTCAAGAACGTAAGCCTGCTGATAAAAAGCCTGTCAAGCCGAAATGGTTAAAATTGTGAAATCACTTTTTGATGGTCGAAGGGAGCCTGCATTTGTTCTTTTGGGTGGTTATCCTGACCTTGGTGGGCGTTTGCAGCCAGGGAGATTTGCTTGTGCTTGATATATAATTATATATGGATAATGGTCCCATGAGGCGGCTTTTTCGTGTGGTTAAATCACCATGGCCTCTTGGTTGTTTATGTTGAAGTGGGTATACAAGGATCTTCCTCAGTGTATCATGATGAATCCAAAAGAATGCTGCTCAGTTGACTTTCTCTTCCATTTGTCATGAATATGTAGATAATTCGCTGTAGCCATGAGTTTTCCTGCTGCTAATGCATGCATACCGGAAGATTTTATAACGTCTGGGTAGATAACCCGGTAAAAAAAAAAAACACACACACACACACAGAGTAAATATTCTCTTAATGCGGGCATGGAATTTTGAGATGGCCGTTGCTTCTTGCTAATGTTTTCCTGTCAGTTCGTCTGCTTCGTGGGCTTAGAACTCAAATAAGAGAGGGTAAGGGAAATGAAATGTGTAGTCGGCTGCCGAATATTTTGCAGGGTTTAGTTGTCTTTCTTATAAACAATCCCGAGAAACGAGTAAGTGTTGGTTCAAGTAGAAGGGACTGGGATATTTTAAATATCATGGTTTGGGTTTGATCTTTGGGACAGTGTGTATGGAACAAATATTGTTGGGAGGGGCTCTTGTTACGTGCTTGACAGTATCTTGAAAAATTAGTTTTTCACCGTTGAGATGAGAGGATACTCTAGGCAATTGAAAAAAAAAAAAAAAAAATTTCCGAGAATCGTTGAGAAGAAGAGAATTTAGTCATATCTCTTATTTGTATTTCTTCCGATTTCTTGGAAATTTGCATCGGGTGGGTGTTAGAAGGAGTTGGCATGTCGGATTCAGTTGATATCTAAAAAATGAAAATGAAGTCTATATACTGGTATTGTGCACTTTGGACTGCCCGTCAAATGGGTCGACAAGCCTGTTTGAACAGAAACAGCGTGATCCGTTTGTCCGGATTAATTAAAAGAGAAATAATGATAACTACATTTATTTTTGTCCTGTCTGAAATTTATAGGATTTACCTAATTAGTTTTCAATTTGAACATTAGCTGATTAATTGAAACCTAATCCCGCAGCCCGCTTTCTCGTCTGCTTTAGCGGTGATGGGTGAGGCGAATCACGTGCCTTTATTTGGTTGTCATTACTCACGCCGGCCACCCATTCCTCAGTATTTTAATTAACGGTTCTTCAAATTTGGATCAGCTAACCTCAATTATTCATGCCATTTGTAAAGTGTTGATTAGCTTTTAGCTTTATTGTGCTGTACTCAAATAATGATTGGTATCACGACAAGTCAGAATTATTTGTTATTGCACCTTTTTAAAATGAGCATAGAATAATCTTTTCTCGTCATAGAAGTTTTAAGATAATAACCGTAAAATTTTTATGACTGTAAGGGGGAAAAAAAGACCTTCGCCAAAATATTTATCATTTCATTTCTCGTATAATCATTTACATTTATTAGAGTAGTTCTTTTCTTTGTGTATATAAATCTTCTTAAGGTAAATAGAAGAGTAGGGCACGTTTTTCACTCGTTTTCACCTACCCCCTCCTCCTTGTAATTCCGACAACCAAAATACTACCTCCGGTCCTAATTATAAGAGTCAGTTGACTAGTTTGAGGAGATTAAGAAAATAAGTTGAACTAGTTATTTGTCTTAAATAGATACTGTCTTTCCTAAAATATCCTTACTAATCAAATGTAGTGATTAGAACTATCATTGTTAAAAGGACTACTTTGAAAAAAAAAAGTATAAATATAAGAGACAAAGTAGATTGAGGTCTTATATTTAGGATCAAAATAAGAGTCAAACAGGATCTTATATTAAAGACCGGAGATAGTATTGTTTAAATGAAATAAAATCGTGAAGAAATTATTCGATTCAAATTAAAATTTAATCAACAGACACAAATCTAAAATTTTCAGACATGTTACTGTGTGCTGTGTATTATCGACTATCCTAGTGAAAAAATGCAAATATTTTTTTATTATTATTATTTTGAGGCATAGTAGTATTATACTATTATTGTTTATGATGGATATTTAAAGATTACATTTCGGAAATTCCAATTCCGTTGATTGTTACCAACTTTATACATCCGCTTTGGTGGTTATTCTGTCAAAAACGCATGAACAAATGTATCTAAATATAATACAACTTTTAGTACTTAACATAAGAAAATTAACTAATTTACTAATATTAAGAAAATTAATAAAACTAGTTATTCATAATAAATGGGTGTTTTTTTTAAGTACTCTTATTAATACCTACATTAAAACCAAAATCCTTTAATATGTATGATTACTTTAGGAGAAAATGAATAAATATAAAAAATAAAGTGAAGTTTGGACCTTATATAGAGGACTAATGACCAAATTCAATCTTTAACTAGCTATAATATTTAAGATCGAAAATAGTAATATTATTAAGTGGCACGGTGGGACGATTAGCCACTGCACAGTGAACAATTAGTTCAAAATTTGTTAAGTTAAAGAGTTATGAGGGCAACTAACAATATGCAGCTACCCGCAGTAATTAGCTGACTTGACTGGCAGATGGACTCGGACAGCATGAATAAACTGATCAATAACACCCAAAAAAAAAAAACTTAATTTTTTATATAAATAATAATCAAAGGTTAAAGAATATTCTCCTGATCTCCTAGAGTTGCTTAAATTTTAATCTGTAGTACGCTTTGTTCCGCGTTCAAGGGCACACATCCGTATTTGTTTTTTTAACAGAAAAAGTTTGTCTAGCTCAATAAAAAAAAGGGGGGGAGGTTAGAATACTCTTAGAGCATGGTTTTATATGTTTAGAATGAATTAAATTCACAATTTCCAATTGAAAAGTGGAAAGCGAACAAAACAGAAATAAAAAATAAAAAAAACACCTGCGATTGAAAATAAAACCAATGTCCAAAATGCCTTGAATATGTTAAACCCTCGGTCAATCCTGGGCAGCCGAGGTTTTATGTTTATTGTTTACTTTTTTTAAATTATTTTAGTGAAATATCTTTATTTAACTTATCGTGGCGGCTAAGGACCTGCTTATTGATTCTGTTTCCTGAATATCTCATTTGAAAAGTCAAACTTCCCAATACCTCCACCATACCCTGTCGGATGGACTTTGACACCGCACGGGTCCAGAGTCCGTGGAATAAAAAAAAAAAAATCCGGTGTACTCACCGTTCACATTATCTTACGTGGAGAATATAAGTTGTTTGTTTTAAAAAAATTACATTCTCATATTTGAATTTACTTTCTACCCAGTTAAGACGTCCCTCAGGAAAGCAAATTTACCATTAAGCCACGGAGGGAGACGTATATAAAAGAAATTTGCCTCCGTTTTATTGAAATATCGAGTAAGATTTATGAGAAAGGTAGGGTTTGGTGAGTGGGCCCTGAGATGGGATGAAATCAGCATCACGTGTGTACCCTGCACCCTCCCCATCAAATATGAAATCACTTTATATTTGGGATGCGGCATTAACTTCTGATTGTGAAATCCTGGTGATTTCTCCTTCCTCGTCGCTGTCCGAATCCCTCCTCTGTTTTATTTTGTTACACATAAAGAAATTTGATTTTATTAATTTTCTATATTTAATTAATCATTTTCGGAGGTGTTTGCTGTAATTCTCTTTTCGGCCGTGACCGCGAATTGAGATTTGAGTGGCCTTCTCAATTACTAATATTCTCGAAAGATACTCTTGCTATTTTCGCTTCCACCCCTCCCACTTCCTGTGCTTTACACCAATTGACAGGAGTATAATATTCCCTCGCTTTTCTATTTTCCTTTTTACATGGCCCAGTCCCTATTTCTGCATTTCCTTGAGAGCCAAATTTATAATTTTAAAAGTTCTGATCAAATTTTTTTATCTTTACATACGCTTCGCTTCATTTCACCGTTATCATTTGGGTCAGCCTAATATTATTATTTTATCTCGTATACTAATTTTATTTCGTTGGATAAGACATAACAATACGAATTTTAGTCTGATTCCATGATTTTCGGCCAGAAAAACATCAGTTTCCATAATAATTACACAATGACTCGGAAAAGAAGATAAGAAATTGACTTTATTGTGTTTTCTCACTTTCTGGTTCTGCGCCTCTGCCCGCCCCAGCGGTTCCGTTAAATGAACGCGTACAACGTCAAGGCGCCAGCGAAGAATTTATCCAAATAGGGGGGGCGCGAACGTAAATAAGGGAAAATGCGTTGAAAGAGAATTTACAACCGCATTCGTCGACTGTGCAGACTACAGGTTCAGACCGAATGACACACATAATGACCAAGGAGAAAGTTGTTGAACCCATCAACTACCTCTGAACGGCTGAACCTTATAAGGAATACCCAGCTTCTAAATCCTTGCTATTTGCTCCCACTTTTCCCATCAATTTGGTACTATTCCCGGTAAGTTCGCTTCGTTAGGTACTTGTTCTTCCACTTAATCTCTCTGTTTCCCCATTAGAGTTCTCGTCGTGTTCTAGTTTGATTTTGATCATGGTTTTGATCTCATGGAGTCCAGCTTGTTGACTGTCGTTTCTGGGTGGCTTTCATTATTTCTGAAAGATATCTTTTGATTGCGAGCACCGATAGATTGACTTCCTATGCCTTGTGATCAATTTTAGATCCATGCAACAATAACCTTTCCGTTTGTTTGATTGGAAAGTATGATTCTTGAGCTTAGCTTCTTTTATTACCTTTTTTGTATTGTCTTGCCGCAAACTTGTGGCGAGTTTTTCATCCTCCAGGATGATGTACACTGTCTGTTGTGCTAGTTGTCTGACTGCCTAATCCATTGGTTTTTTCGATATCCGTCATTGTCTGTTGTGCTAGTTGTCGACTGCCTAATCCATTGGTTTTTTCGATATCCGTCATTTCCATTGCGGTCTGAGGCTGGGAACTTATCATCACCATCGCCATACAATTCTGTTTCTGTCATCAATATCGATATAGGATATTTGCTTACTTCAGCTTTGTTTGATGCAGATCATAGTTGCTGCAGATCATACCGGTAAATTTCAAGCTGTTCTATCTTTCTGGTTCTGCTGGAAGATGGGATCAAGGGAATGGGTTGTTGAAAAAAGATCTAGCTTTAGGAGTGACTCCCTTCTAGGAGAGGCAGAAAATGTACCCGAAACTGGGTCTCTCTCCATTGTGGTACTTGGTGCTTCTGGTGATCTTGCTAAGAAGAAGACATTTCCTGCACTTTTCCACCTATATCGCCAGGTTTGCTAGCATATAATTTATGAAACATGTGCTAAATCATTGTGGATCATATTGATCAGCGTGCGAAATAGCAAATCACGAAGCTAACGGCGGAGTTATTGATTACCCTTAACCAAGTGGATCTCTGTTATTTCGTGATTCTAATCCAGTTCAAGTTGTAATTTTTGTGGCTATTCACATTTTCTACGTATCAATATGAAATCATATTTTTTCTCTCTCAGATTTTCTCTTTCATGGAAGATTACCTACACATTTTTTTCAACAGCCAGAGAAGTTTATCGGCATTAACCAAGAACTTGGGTTAATTTCTTTTTGACCTTTGGTGGCCTTATTTGCAGCGGTTCTTGTCACCAAATGAAGTTCACATTTTTGGCTATGCGAGGACAAAAATCTCTGATGATGAATTGAGAAGCCGCTTACGTAGGTAAGGCATTTAACCGATTTTAAAATATTTTTTCTTTACATTTCTGATAAAATAATGTCCTTTGGAATTTAGTCTCTGCTTTCTCAATGTTGCTTTATCTTGTATCATCTTATAGGTATCTTACTGTTTCTTGAATTTCATCCTTGAGTGCTTTAAATGCTTACAAGTGTAGAAAACTTTTATCTGATGCAGCTACCTTGTTAATGACAAAAACGCATCCCCAGAGCAGTTGGATGAAGTTACAAAGTTTTTGCAACTGGTTAGCACAGTTTTCTTGCATCATTTATAGATTCTTTTCAATTTTCTCACTAATCATATAAAGCAATCTTCTTATTGGTCTAATATTGGCTTTCTCTTTTTCTCTTCCTTCTAGATCAAATATGTAAGTGGATCTTACGATTCTGAGGATGGTTTCCGCATACTGGATAAAGAGATTTCACAGCATGAATGTTCAAAAAATAGCGTGGAGGGTTCATCTCGAAGGCTTTTCTATCTTGCACTCCCTCCTTCAGTATATCCTTCCGTTTGCAGAATGATCAAGACTTGTTGCATGAATAAATGTAAGATTGTATACTCTGTAGTTGCCATTTGTATAATCAACATGAATGTTATTTTTTTGTGACATAAAAATAACTTTGGCCCCTTTTTTTTTTGGGGGGGGGTGTTTGGGGTGGGGTTTGAAACTTTCTATGCCCTAGTTTAACATCTGTTGAAAATCTTGATCTGCTGGACAACTAATCTAGGCTGCACTTCAGATTGACTTTTTCAGCTTTTCTCTGCTTCCTTGAATAAATTTTTGGCTACTACTCTGATTTCTTCAAGATCCTTTTCTAGGTTTCTTGGTGAATACCAGAACTTATTGAAGTCAATACCATGTATCATGTAGCTGCTTCTAATGTTCAAGTGTGACCTAGATTTTGGTTTTGGAATTTAGGACTGATTTTTGAGAAAAAAGACACATGTCCGGTAGATAGCAAACTTTAGCAGAACTGATCTTAGGGCTTCTAGTTTCTCCATGGTCTGTCCCCTCCGGGTGGACACATACTAGACCCTTTTGTAACTTGAAAGTGGCATATTTCCTTTTTCTTTCTTTGTTTTATTTAAGGCATTGATCTTTTCATTGATGGCTCCATCTATCTCCATTTCTTAGCTGATCTTGGTGGATGGACCCGTGTTGTTGTTGAGAAGCCTTTTGGCAAGGATCTACAGTCTGCTGAGGAACTCAGTGCCCATATTGGAGAGTTGTTTGAGGAACCACAGATTTACCGTATTGATCACTACTTGGGAAAGGAATTAGTTCAGAATATGGTAATAAATGAGTATATCATTGCTTGTTTGTTGTTTCTTTCCTGGACTTTTTCTAATTCCTCCTTATTTGACTTATATTGGCAGTTAGTACTTCGTTTTGCAAATCGGTTTTTCTTACCTCTTTGGAATCGTGATAACATTGACAATGTTCAGGTGAGTGTTCTTGTTTTGTCGAAGGTACATCAATAGATTAAGTATTAAACTTTTGTAATGATTTTGAAATTAGGGCAGGTTTTGTGGAGTGTGCTTGAAGATTAACAGTCTCTAAAATCATGTCTAACAATTTTTCCACCTTGGCAAAGTGTGCTTTGCTTTTTTTTTGCCCAATTCAGCTATGACATTAGCAAGTATATTCAACCAATTTAAACTTGGGTATTTGGATGTTGGTTCAATGGCAGATAGTTTTCCGGGAGGATTTTGGAACTGAAGGTCGTGGTGGATATTTTGATCAGTACGGGTATGTGCGGTGGATTGTCTCTAATTAATTTGTTGAACATGTTGTCAAATGACAAGTTATGGCAATTATTGATTTTGAGACGAAGAACATTAAGAAAACAAGTCTGTATATTCCAATTTATTTTCTTATCCGATATTGAGACCAGACTTCTAAATGTTATCTCAAATGTCTGCTGTTATTGGAATTAGTGTTTTTGTTTTTGGCCAAAGAAATTAGTGTTGTGGACTTATTTTGTTTTGAATAGCCATTTTATGGCTAAAGCTATAACTAATGAATTCATAACTTCTATTTGACAGGATTATTCGAGATATTATTCAAAATCATCTGCTGCAGGTGAGGCTTTCATTTTAACTGAAATAAATTCCCTTTATGTGAATCGGATTGTTAAGAAGATACTTATGTATATCAAGGAGATGTGTTACTATTACTTATATTTACTCCTATTCTAAGTTTTAATCTTATCAAAATTTAAAGCATTAGTGAACCTACTTTGCATTATCTTGTCTTTGAAGTTCCATAACCTTATTAGATCATAAATTTGTGAATGTTGATCATTAATTTTCTGCCTACTCAGGTTTTCTGCTTGGTTGCCATGGAAAAACCTATTTCTCTCAAGCCAGAGCATATTCGTGATGAGAAAGTGAAGGTGTGTCTTTGTTCATCCTATTTAAAATGGCTCTCCGTGCTCTTCTATCCCACTTACCAGTTGCTATGTTAAGTGCAGGTTCTTGAATCAGTCCTTCCTATTAAAGATGACGAGATTGTTCTTGGACAATATGAAGGATACAGAGATGACCCGACCGTACCTGACCAATCAAACACTCCAACTTTTGCTACTGTTATTCTGCGAGTCCACAATGAAAGATGGGAAGGTATGAGTGAAATTCCTGCTTTTGTTTCTGAATAAACCCCTTTCTTCAGACATTTCTTTGACTTATTTTTTTCGGAATGATTTGGATAAATAATATTGCAGAGATCGCCCATATTCATTTTAGTGTTAATTCCCCATTATATGCTATAGATTTTTGTGCATCTGATCAATCAAATAACAATTGATACATCTTCAACCTAAACTTCTGTTTCCCTCAGGTGTTCCTTTTATTCTAAAGGCAGGGAAGGCCCTAAATTCAAGAAAGGCAGAGATCCGGGTTCAGTTCAAGGATGTTCCTGGTGATATTTTCAAGTGTATGTTACCAACCCTTTGGATATTTGGGTGGATTGTCCTCAATACAAGCTTTTTCATGGATCTTCTGTTATGAACACTTAATTAATCTTGAGCATGATTGTGGAATTAGGGAAACCATAAAACTCATCATTTCGAAAGCTATGATGCTTCTGTGATTAGCATATATTTTCATTTTGGCGTCTATAGTATTTTCATGAATGCACGGTCTATCTTGGTTCCATTGAAGCATGAATTGAAACTATTAGTGGGCGTTGCTGTAGTTATTTACAATCATATTTCATGCACTAACTTGGTATGTAAATATAATTATGCTTTGCTGGTGAAAATTTATAATTTAGAGATGTTGGTAACCTTTAATCCATTAAAACACAAATGAAAAAGCCGCTTGTTCTATTTGGTAGTTGTTGGGTAGGTTATGTTCTTCCATGTCTAGATCCCAGATGCCTTAGTTTTGTCCATGTGCTGCCATAGGCATCAAACTTACTGTAAAACATTTCAGGTAAAAAACAGGGCAGAAATGAGTTTGTCATACGGCTGCAACCTTCAGAGGCTATTTACATGAAGCTTACGGTGAGTCATTCTATTTTTGATAACTTGCGAGGAGAATAATCCTACTGATTCCTGGACCTGATTACCTCTTGTAATACTTTATACTCCTCCGGTCCTAAATATAAGACCCTTACACTAGTATAGGGGTCTTATATTTAGGATCGGAGGAGTATATATGTTATTTGCAATTATTGAGGATATTTATTCTAGTACAATGTTTGCAGTGATTTTATTTTTCTTTGTGAATATGTGAGGTGGCAAATTTGCTTGTTCATATATCCTCCTGTCTTACGGTTATTGGTACTTTGTGGAATGAAACTAAGCTTTTAGTTTTGGCATAAAATGCTGAAACAAAATCCCTGATTCCAGTAACAGTGGACTGACTGTTTCATTGCCTCTTTAGGTCAAACAACCTGGACTGGAGATGTCAACAGTGCAAAGCGAACTAGACTTGTCATACGGACAACGATATCAAGGCGTCACCATTCCAGAGGCTTATGAGCGCCTAATTCTTGACACGTATGATCCTTTTCCTAAGTGCATGTTTATGCATTTTAAACTACTTTTTAAGCATCACACAGATGTGTGAAGTTGCACGAAGGTTACACTGCAGAAGTGCTAGGATTTACACGCTTCACTCAGCCATGAATTTTGTCTTCAAGTAATAAAACTTTTGGCTTAAAATGGGCATTTGTATTTGTTTTACAGAATAAGAGGAGATCAGCAACATTTTGTTCGAAGAGACGAGTTGAAGGTAAGGTCATTGCATGGTTTGTTGTACTGATACTGCAACAAAAGAGACTTCGAAATCCTGACTCTTGATTCCCAGCTTCAACTCTAATGGTTGTTTTCTGTTTGATATTAGGCGTCCTGGGAGATATTTACGCCACTTCTGCACAAAATTGATGAAGGGAACTTCAAGTCAATTCCTTACAAACCAGGAAGCAGAGGTCCTGCGGAAGCAGATGAGTTGCTGGAAAAAGCAGGCTATGTTCAAACACACGGCTATATATGGATTCCTCCTACCTTATAGAGTGCCCATTTTGAGTTTGTTGAGGGTCTTGTACATCAATAAGTAAGATAATGTTTTCTTGACGAGACTATCTTGGTTTGCGCGTGTTCACAAAAGGAGGCGAATAAAAATTACAAGAGCTTGACACGGTTTGTATGACGTGATCTGCTTCTGCAATGTGGATGCAGGAGAGAATCAGCTGATTTAGTAGTTGCCTGTAACTGAGTCTCAATCCTAATAAAATTCTTAGTTTCTTATTGATTGAGAGCTTTACTGCTGTCTTCCCTCTTCTGGTAATTTCCAAGTCAACAGGACAATGACGCAAATATACCTTTTGAAATATACAAATATCATATCATGAGTGCGAAGCGGCATAGTTCCCTGCGAGATGACCATATTGTCCCTGTGTAGGGGGGGAAAAAAACAATCTTCACTGGCGGTCTTTGAAGGCTCGCAGCTCTAGTGGTCGGAATTTCAACAACCAAAAATCTTAAAATTAATGGTAACTTTATCTTAAGAAATAACAATTTTAATCCTGAATATAAGATATCAATTCATTTTGTCTCTTAAACTTATGATTTTTCCTCTAAACCATTCTATTGAATGTACATATTAAGCGGGTTTTCATAAAAAGGATGTTTTAATGCAAATGAATAAAAAGAGTATTTCAAGAAAATATAAACCCATTTTTTACAAATGATTTAATTAGTATTTTTAATCTTTGCTAATTAATTATTAAGTTTTCACATTTAAATCTTGACAAAGTAACCATTTTATAAAGTGTTTAGGTAGAAACCAAACCATTATTTTAAAAGTAATTTTACGGTATATGAAATAGGTACGTGAAAAGAATTTTACCTCCAGTTAAGTGAAAACACTTTTTATAAATGCTTGTGGAAGAATCCAAAAATCGTATCAAATTATGAATATGCTAATTTTGACGGTGGGTGGTGATTTTATAGTGACTGATACAGATTTTGCCGATAGCATTATATTTTTGATATTATCATGATATGTTAATATCTGAAAAACATAAAATTTTTCACCAATTAAAATTCAGAAAATCACCTATAATTTATCATTATATACAGAAAATTTCCCACCAAATTCGTATCCTCTTTATGAGCCATGCAGCCAGGAGAGAAAAATGAAGAGATTTTGGAGGGGACAGAAGGCGCATAATAGGGCATGAGAGGGTCAAAAGCCTAAACACGTGCTAAGTAAGTTCCCGTCAAAGAGAACGGATCCGGATCCTCAGCGCGGGGCATATATTTCAGCCGTTGATTTCATCCAGCCTGTGAAGTAGCGCCACGTCATCCGCATGGACAGAAACCTAAACCCCGGTCTCTCCTTTTTGTTTTTTTGGCCAAAAACCCCCGTCTCTCCTTTGGTGCCGTCGGTATGGCATCATCGAATGCTTCATATAAGCAATCCGCTTTTTCGTAGCTTTACTTTGCTTCCAAGTTCTAGAGCCGTTGCTCTGCCTTGCACTCACTCACCATTTCTCTTTTTACCTCATATAAACGAATTTGTGATGTGTCACTTAGGAGGTGTTTAAAAAACTATAAGTCATTTTTTTTATAAATCAAGATAAACTTTTCTACATATTTATCTTGTATGTTGTAAAATTATTTTTATGATCATGATTTTATTTAAAAAAAATCACAAAAAAAGATCTTGAAACTAGAAAAATTACAAATAGGAACTTATTATAATATTAGTATAAGTTTTGACAACAATTGATCAACAAATTGTAACAATTTTTGTGAACAAGTCTCCGTATGTAATTTTTAAAATTTTTAAAGTCTTTTTTTACAATTTTCTCATTCACCCAAATGCCCCTTATTGAAAATCTACATGTCAGCTATCATTGCTGTCACGTTGCCAAGAATGCATACAAAACATATTAAGGTCTAACAAGGGCATATTATTTTTTTGCCCCCAATTTAAACCAAAACTGAGCCAATCTTTTCATGAAAAAGACCAATACTTGCTGAATTAAAATGAAAAGTACGTGCAGTTATATTATAATAAATGCAAGGTGCAATTCCATAGTTATTTTCATATCAAGGAGGAAACAAGTCACAGTTTATGTGGATAAACATATTTAGCCAGGTCAGTTAATATTAATGGTGTTAAGGGGCCAGAGACCAACGGGTTTAACAGACGTAAGTGTGAGGGTTCAATTTAAAGAAACTAATCTACAAGAACCTGATTCAAAATTGATGTAAAGTATAAAGACTTGGGGATTAATTTTCCCAACTATCTATAATGAAAAATAATTATTAAGAAATCCAGTCTATTAATCATGTGGGCTTGTATTTTATATAAAATTTAAAATGAATTATATTATTTTATCAGTAACATGTGAATGATGCAGGGAGGCATACTAGACTATACAAAGATACATGCAATTTAAAGGCGTTATTAGACAAGACCCTGACCACAGCTTGGAGAAAAAAAGAAGTAATAATCACATTGTTTAGTGTAGCAATTTTTATATAAATATAAAAACACTAAAAAAAATTCCATTAAATAATACTACAAAACAAAATTGAAAAACGCGGTTAATGGACGGTTAATAATGTACCGACCTCGGTGATTTCGGAGAAGAGATAACAAAAAAGGATGGAATTGATGAAGAGGAGGGCTTGAAACTTGAAAGTCAATCCAAAGGCAGGAGTGAGGAACTCCAAATCTTTGATTGGCTGCTCTCTCTCAATCGCATTTGTTCCTACTCCTACACGCGTCTCCCTCTCTTCACTCACTTCTCCACCCGCCTCTTTCTCCCTCCCTTTCTCTCTCCTATTTTTGAGCTTTTATTCTCCGTCCCTTCCAAATTCCAATTCGCTCTTTTCCCTCATATTTTTGGCTCTCTCTCTCCTCCTTCCCTCCATCCTCCCTCGATTGTCTTGCATTGCATGAGTGGGGTGGGTCAAACCCTACATTCTCCTGTCCCAACTTTTTTTTTCCTGCTAATCTTTTTTTCTCTCGCGGCAAACCCAACTACCCGAACTCCAGAATCTCCTGCTCTTCTATACTTGCCTTTTATGGTGTCTCTGTACTCTCTGCAAACTCTAGATCTACGAATGAATTGATTGGGTCCCCTACCTTCCTTGGGCCTGTCATTATTCTTGTCTGGTTTCATTTGCACGTTGCGTTTGAGGTGTTAGTTTTTGCTTTCCCTTCAACCCAATTGGAAAACTGAAAGCATGGGTATTGCTGATTAGGTTACCGAGATTCAGGAACCATGCAGTTAGTGTGTGTTTATTGGGTGAAAAAAGGTCTCTTGTACTGTACTTAATTGGGTTTTCTGTTTCTCCTGGGCAGAAGGATCTATCCGCATCGAAATGGTGTTTTCCTTTGAGGTTATATTCTTCTAATAGGGTTTCTGTGGAATTCAATTTGGTTAGGTGCAGAGACTGTTATTAGAACATGGCTCTGAATTTTTCCTGTGATTCGAGCTTTCTGGCTTCCCCGGAGAAGAGTCCGTATCATCCTATCGGGCCAGCCGTCGATGGTTATTTGTTTAAGAAATCTGGTTGTTTTGGTAATTCGTGGAGCTTTTGTAGTTTCAATAAGGCATTGGAAGATAACCCATGTGGTGAATTAGTCAATGCTGATTTGGGGGAATTTGATGAACCAGCGGCCGTGGTTGATGATATTCTTGATCGCTTGCCCAGGGATCCATTTGGCATGAACATAATGAAGTCTACCTTCCCTGAAATCTCGGATTGGATTCAAGATTTTGATTGGCATTTCCCGTCAGGGTATGATGTCCTTGGGGTGGATGAAACCCATACAAAGCTTGATTATGAACTTTTTGCGGGTCTATATTGGGGTTGGAACGGTGCTGGTAGTTTCCCTTCCGGAGGCAACGACAAAGGCAATGAGATTTCTGTTTCAGATGAAGTTTTCGATAGATTTCAGATTTTTGATGGGTTGTTTGATGGCGGCCTCGTATCAGATGGAAAAGTGGAGACGGTTTTACCCACTGGCGACGGAGGCAGCTGGGTTTCGAGCAGTGAAGCAGAAGAATTGAAAAATTCAACCAAAATTGATTATGATGGTGAAGCAGGCAGTCCGCATGATGCTATGCGTTTGGTGTTGAATTATCTAGGTGTCACGGACCTTCTTTCAGTTGAACAGGTTTGCAGATCTTTGCGTGATAGTGTTAGAGCTAATCCTCTGTTATGGTGGAGTATACACATAGATCAGTCATTGAGTTTGAGGATTACTGATGGCGCACTGGTGAAGTTAACTAACAGGGCTCAAGGTTTTCTTCAATCCTTGAGCCTGGTTAATTGCATAAGGATCACTGATAGTGGTCTGACGTCTGTTCTCCGAAGCAACCCTCGATTAACTAAGGTCAGTATTTGCAATGTGATCTCAAACTTTACGTGCACTTATTTATTATCTGAGGATATTCCATTATCACTTGCGAAAAGTTTTAATATTTCTGTGTGTCATATGCTGTAAGATGTCCAGTCAGAATTGTGTGCTATGTAAGTACATGTAGCTACTCTTTTTCTTTGTTTTCTCTTGATATTCAGCTGTATTGTATTCCTCTCTTGGTTGATCCAATCTGAATCATTTATTAAAGACTAGAGAATATGCAACAACAACAAAAGTGCGTTTGAGAGCTATGATGATTAAAATCTTTATACATGGTACTTGCAAAGTTTCCTGTTCACTACTGGTGGTCTTTTCAATAATTGTCTGGCTCAACGATAATGATCTGCTTTATTAATTGCCACATCAGATAAAGGCAATATAAGCATAATTGAATCTTTACATGGGTTGGTATAAGAAACGATGACAATTGGAGATGCCTTGACTTGTGTATATACTGTCTGTCTGCTGATTTTCAGTGAGCGCTATCATTCTGTATACTATCGTATCTTTTGCAGACGGTTTTGTTCTTATGGTTTTGATATGATGATTTTATACAACTATGTATTATGTCATGGAATCAATATGTCCATCTGTTTTTAAGTGAGGAACTCAGAAAATTTGCATCTCCCTCTTTCAGCTAAGCGTGCCTGGTTGTGTTAGACTTACCGTTGAAGGGATTTTACTCCACATGAGAGCCCTAAAGTCATCAGGGAAACCTGGGATAAAGCACTTAGAAATTGGTGGGCTTCCTCATGTAACAGACAAGCATTTTGAGGAGTTGAAGGTCTTATTAGATGCGGACAAGTATTTGCAACAGAAAGAGCAGAGGCCCCGATTCTACCGTGGATGGTTTCCATATACTATGTGTAATGATGACCGTGTAATTGATATAGAGCTTTGTCCTATATGCCAGATGCCAACACTTGTCTATGATTGCCCTGCAGAGAGTTGCCAGCAGAAGCAACAGGCTTCTCCGTTGTGTAGAGGTTGCATAGCTTGCATAGAACGGTGCATCCATTGTGGGCAGTGCATTAAGGATTTTGATTGTGAAGAGACATTCTGTCTGGAATTGCTTTGTTTGAATTGTTGGAACCAGCTGGTGAGTTGTCCAGATAACACAGTTGAAAAGGATTCTTCCAAGCGCACTGTTATTAGTCAAAGGACTATGTATAAGTTTTGCCTCTATGGCTGATGGACTAGCCCTAGCGTAAGCAGCAGTATATTTCTAGATTATTCAGACCAGAATGCGCAAGGTCGGCTGTATGGATTTTGAATGTACAAGTTGAACCTGTCATGGATGCATCTGCCAAGGCTTCTAGCCCTGCTGTGTCGGCTGATTATCGCATAGGATGACCACATAGTCAAGTCGTATTAAGGTTCAAGCTTTGCATTTTTGGGAAACACGATCCTCTACATGATGCCATCAGATAGCTGAACTAGTATCACACTTAACGACAGTCAGTAACATCTAAGTTTTTAGGGGACTGAATATCATCAGAACTGATCTCCTATTGCATGTTGCGCAAATTGTTGAACTGTCTGCAGATGGGCTGCTTTTAACTGCTCAAGACAGGAGGAAGGAAGAAGATGCGATCATTCTGGAGGGAAATGGGAACTCAGATTCCATGAGAAGAAAAAGAAACAAAAATAATGATAATTTATTGTGGTTGTGGAGTAGACGAGAGATGCATGGCCATGGCCTTTACTGAACTAGGCCAACGTGAATGCAGCTCCTGCGGGAAAAAGTTGTGAAGAGTTCACTGACAGGAAGAATGGGTAGTTCTTGAAGGTCGGTGTGCTCATGTTGGTTGTGCACACCTTTTCTCTAAGCAATCCCTTCTTCGGGACATGTCGTCTCCTGCAGTGGACATTGTCTCGAGTTTGTGGGAAAAATTTGTCGCCGTCGTTCTCTGTATACTGATGGCTGGCATAGGACTCTCTCTAAAGGAAGGCGACCGCATGACATGGGGCCACCTGCCGGAAGATTTGTACTCATTGAAGCAGTTGCTCCTGATGTTGCCTGTAACTGAAGCTGGAAGTCACTCCCAAGAACTGAAGACTGGGGAGAGGATAACCGGAAGAACAATTTAATTCTGCTCTTATCTTTAGTTGTGTAATAACTGAAGCACAAACAGTCGACTATACAAATTGACACTTTGCGCCTGTACCTTTTCTTTAGATGCGTTCATCGTTGAGCTTGGAAACTATCATCATCAATATGCCTCGTATCGTATCTATCAACAGGAAATTTAGAACACAAGTGTGCAGTTGCTGATTTGCTTTATTTCCAACATCGTTTATTCTTGATATGTCGGAGTTGATTCTAATTTCCTTATTTGTCAAGGGGCGTAACCATGACTTCTTGAATTTTAGTCCTTTAACATGTTTGTGAGAATTTAGAGAAATTTACTTAAGAGTGATAAAAATAAAGCTAAATTTGTATTATTAAATAATTTTTAAAATGAACTTTTGGGGACAGAAATCTGAGTCTTAAACACATGTTAACATTATTTTGGGGCCAAATGAGATTTTAAGAAAGGAAAATAATTATAAATAAGGGGGTGTTTGGATAGAATTTAAATTATAATTTTAAAAGTAATTTTATAATACACGAAATAAATATATGAAGTAATTTGTCTTGACTTACAGAAAAGTGTTTTTTAAAAGTACTTTTCACAAATGTCAAGCACCCCCTAAGTCTTAATAATAAGGAAATAGTTGTCATTTTCTATCATGACAATTGTTATTACAGATTGTTCTGTTGTTAATGGGATTAATTAGTAATAATGTTGATAATAAATTTGCTTCATTTTTTGAGTGCTTTTTCTTTTGGGAAAAAACAGTAAAATACCCTTAAAATTACTAATTGACAAATTAGGGTAGGTAAATTTCAAAATCCCAATTCAGACCCCAGGTACCATTTTGGAATTTTCAAATCTTGTAAAATGACAACATTGTCCTTACTGTCGGTGACTACTTTCATATAGCTATTGACTACTCTGTTTTAACTATTGACAACTTTTGTTTTCAAAGTTCCAATGAATATTTTTATATAGCTATTGACTACACAAGAGTAGTAAATCGCATTATTGGAGTAGTTAATAGCTTAGCAAGAGTAGTCATCAGAATTTAAAAATAAATATAGTCAATAGCTAAAAAAGAGTAGTTAATACATAAGAAAGAGTAGTCACTAGAGCACCCCTAACCAGTCAACGGAGTTCCGGTAACGTGTTATCAAAGTTCAAAAATAAATGTAGTCAATAGCTAAAAAAGAGTAGTCAATATATAAGAAAGAGTAGTCATCGGAACTCCAACAACCGGTCACCGGAACTTCGATGACCGGTCGCGCGGAGCTCCAGTGGTTGGCCGCCGGCAGGGTCGCCGGCGTCGGAGCTCCGGCGGCCAGAATTGCTGATGTGGCAGTATTTAAAAAAAAAGTAAAAAAAAAGGTAAAGGGCATTTGTGTAATTTTATAACATTTGAAAATTCCAAAATGGTACCTGGGGTCTGAATTGGGATTTTAAAATTTACCTACCCTAATTTGTCATTTAGTAATTTTGAAGATATTTTATTGTCTTTTTCCTTTTTCTTTTTCCTCGTAGTTAGATGCAAACCGGTATTTTCGGTTGAAAACATGCTTATTGCTTAAGGCCAAAAAAAACTCAAAAACAAGTTTATAGGACTAGGAGCTAAAATAGGCCAACAAACCTATTAGGGGCCTATGACTTGGTTCAACTTGAGTTTGGCATATTTAGTAAAAAAACAAAAAAGCCAGGCTTATTTACCTAAAGTTTTGCTTGTACACTTATCTATTTATATTTTTTCAATTACATTTACATAAATAAATTATCTATATAAATAACTATAATTTGAATTATTTTTATTTCATATTTTGTTACATGCTCTTTTCCTTGTATATATAGATAATTAGATATAAATATAAAAGTAACATATTTATGCACATAATATAATATATATTTATAATCACACGGCAGTAATATTTAAATAACTTATTAAAATATTAAAAATAGGTTTGGGCTTATTAAGGTTCATCACCTGGTCTGATTTTGATCTTGATCTGATCGGGTTTATTTAACCAAAAAGTCAGCTCAAGCTTATAATTAATTATGCCTTGTTCCCACCGTTAATTTCAGCCTGGCGGTCTCACAAAATATCATATGTAATTTTTCTCTTGATTTTTTTGTCCGCCAACCATTTCCGCTCCTTGATCGGCTGTTGAATACTACTGTTTTTCTATTGTACTTTATGTATACATTTCTCGATTCTTAATATAGAAAGTAATTGTTTTTTTGTCTTAAATATAAGAATTATTTTTTATATTTATTAATTTTTTAAAATTATCCTTGTAGATGTTTCCTTAATTATAATCAGGTAAAAAAAGAGATATTAAAAAAGAGATTATGGTGTTTTAGAAAAAACATGTCATATTTTTTATAATTAACTAACTTATCTAATTTATTAATTTAATCAAATTAATTAAATAAGTCTTATATTAAGAATTGGAAGAATATATATAAAGGGGAGCTTACTTATACAGTAAGGGAATTTACAACTGAATATTGTTTTGTTTTGGCCATACCTTCAAAAAACAAAAACAGAAAAGAAAACGCCCACGTAAAACGCCCCCTTTTTTCCTGCATTAGCCCGATTTCCACTGACGTGGCCTCTGAGATTGCCACGTAATCGGAAGAGAGAGGATGCGAGCCCTTGCTCCGTAAGACAAACAGAAAACCAATCAGAAAATAATGGATAGCGATGGAAATGGCGGTCACGGGGCAGTTAGCCGCCACGAAAGCTGGGATTGATTCGCCGTTCACAGCGTTTTTTTCCCTTGCCTTTCCCTTTCTCTTCAATTTCGGCCGGACAACCCCGGTCAACATCAGTTAAAGTCCCATGATAATTATTTTATTTTATAAGAAAATTAATTACAGCCGAATCCCTTAAAATAAGTCGGTTAGGTTTTCTTTTGTGTGACGACGTCGCTTTTCGAGTTTAAACTAGGTTCTTCCTTGGTTCCTTCCTCCCCTTGCAGTCTCTTTTGCAGAAGCTGCTGCGAGGATAATTGCTCTTCAAAGTTGAAGTGTGCGACGGCAAGAGTCGCCATGGAGAACGGAGATATCCCAGAGAACGCTAACGAGCGTATGAATTTTGCGCCTTTTCTGTCTTTACGAGTCATGTATAAAAACTTATTAGGTTTTCATTTTATTATTTTCGTTTTCAGATTGCCCAGGTCCCCAGTCTGAGGCTGCAGGAAAATCCGACGCATGCGAAGGTTGCCCCAATCAACAAGTTTGTGCCACTGCTCCAAAAGGACCCGACCCAGGTTCTTTTTCTGTACCTTTATGACTAAAATCGCCTTAAGCTTTGGTTTGCTTATTTTTTGAACCTTTCGCTAAGTTTGTTTATTTGAGAAGTCTGTGGTTCTATGCTTTTTTTATCCCCCTTTTTACCTCTTCCTCAGTTAGCTAAAGACGGCCCTGCTTCTTGGTATGGTTTTACTTTCAGCCTTGGAATAAGGTTGAAATGGTCAATAATGATTTGATATGAAATCCATGTATGTATTTGTGTGTACTAGGGAGAGAATGATGTCCTAAACACCGTGTGATATGTCGGATTGGGGGGATATCATATAAGTAGAAGTTCTATTTTTCGTTGGTGGTCGCCCATTTGAACACCTCAAATGTACAAATTGTTCTAGTGGCATTGGCACCTGATTAAAGTTGTTTAGATCCATGTGAAACTCAAGAATTTATTTCCTGATATATTGTTCCACTTTATTTACATAAATTTGTCCAAGTGAGAAATAGTCATAGCAACTTTTTCAATGTCAGCTATATCCGGAGAATAATTCGTAAGCTTGTTTCGCTGCTACATATCCAATTCATCAGTTGTGGTGTGTACTGCTATAACTTAGCATTGTCTTGCTTTAACTATCAACAGGCTGGTATTTTGACTAAGCTTACAGCATGCTCTGGCCTTAGATTGGGGCAGCTTCCCCTCACCCTGAACTTATCCCTGCATAAAGAAGGCCCGACTCTTGACATGCATTATATAAATTGTTCGTCTCTCCAATATTGTATTGATGAATGATTGGCTGGTTAAGATATTTAAATGTATTAACAACTTTTTTACCCTCTTTGTTCTGTTATTGGTGACGACATGGAATTGCAAGTACAGTAGTACATATATTTTGTGGTGCAAACAAAGTCGATATCTCAATATTATTGGGCAAATTGGGTTAGAAGAAATGTCATTGATTTGGTATGGCATATATGTAATGCTGCTTTGATACTCCTTCCCTGAAAAAAGTTTGGTTGCATGTCTTCCGCATTTGTTTTGGCAGATCTGGTATCCATCGCAGATAGAATGGCCACTGTGAAGCATAAAATATTGGTTCTATCGGGAAAGGGAGGAGTGGGCAAGAGCACGTTCTCTGCCCAGCTGGCATTTGCTTTAGCAGCAATGGATTTTCAGGTAGGTCTTCTTGACATTGATATTTGTGGTCCAAGCATTCCAAAGATGCTAGGCCTAGAAGGGCAAGAGATACATCAGAGCAACCTTGGTTGGTCTCCTGTCTATGTGGAGTCCAACTTAGGAGTCATGTCAATTGGGTTTATGCTTCCTCACCCCGATGAAGCTGTCATATGGAGGGGTCCACGCAAAAATGGGCTTATCAAGCAGTTTCTGAAGGACGTTTATTGGGGGGAACTTGATTTTCTTGTTGTTGATGCTCCGCCTGGTACCTCAGATGAGCATATTTCAATTGTCCAGTGCCTTGATGCCACTGGAATAGATGGTTCAATCATAGTTACCACACCCCAACAAGTCTCCTTGATTGATGTGAGGAAGGAGGTGAGTTTTTGCAAGAAAGTTGGAGTGAAAGTTCTTGGGGTCGTAGAGAACATGAGTGGTCTTTGCCAACCTATCACAGATTTCAAGTTTATGACAATGACGGGCACAGGCGAGCAGAAAGATGTCACAAGTTGGGCTTTGCAGTATTTGAGAGAAAAAGCACCAGAAATACTAGAATTGATTGCTTGCAGTGAAGTTTTTGACAGTAGCGGTGGTGGAGCAGCAAAGATGTGCAATGAAATGGGGGTATCTTTTCTTGGTAAGGTTCCATTGGATCCACAGCTCTGCAAGGCAGCTGAAGAAGGTAGATCATGCTTTGCTGATAAAACTTGTGGTGTGAGCGCTCCTGCATTGAAGAAGATTATAGAGAAGTTGATGGAAAATCAGGACTTATCAACGCCTCCTAATGGTGTTGCATAGGGGATTCACTTTGACAAGTCGTGAATATAAAAAATAAATACATAATTCTATGTATTTGTGCGCCCTTTAATGTTAGCGGTACTGATGCTGGTATGATATGATGAAGAGGACTTTGTATATGACGAGATTGGGCTTCTTGGACTTCATTTATTTTTTCTCCATGTAAAGAAGCCCATTAAGCTGTGTACCATTTTACCTATGTTTTAATAAGTCTGTCTTCTTAAAAAAAAAAAAATACAATGAAGCCCTGTGCTTTGAACCCTTCGACGCATGGATGGATAATTAGATGTAAGTAATGTATGAATAAGAATAAAAATAAATGACACTAAATGAAATAACGTATAATCCGTTGAATATCAAGTTATCAACCCCTTTTTAGTCTTTATGAGTTGATATGAATATATAAAAAGGATCAGTGTCATAAAAGATATTTTAGAACTACTGCAATTGAAAAAATGACAAGAACATCATTCGTGAGTGTCAAAAAATTAAAATTATTAAAGAATATGTATGCGTATAAATTAGAAATCAAGTTAGGAAAGTTAACCCTAATTAGATTTATCAATATTCAAATCGTGGAAGGAAGGAAGAATTCAATGATTCATCTTATCAAAAATTTGATCCATCGCAAATTTTATGACAATGAGTGGGGCTACAGGTGAAGCAGAGGATTTTATGCCTCCTTTTATTTTTCAGCTAGCATTTCGTTTAATATGTAGACTACCGAAACCATGGATCTTTGGTTTATAATCCATTCCTATGACGACTAAATTATTAACAGTGCCATCTAACCATCAGACCATCTTCAATATTTGCTGTCTCTGTCATTTTCAATGCTGTTTATTTCCGATGCATTTGGCCCAAGTTTCACATCTCGAAGCTAGCATTCAACTCACTGCACCCATTAGCTATTAGGCATATAAAATAGTAGTTTTTGCAATAATGCAGACTTCCAACATGATGAGATGAGCCCGAGGAAGTTCTATCTTTCCCCGCCTCCACTTCAGATGGGTTGATTTGATCAGATTTCTTCCTGTTTAGGATAACACGAATCCTATATTATGAGAGAATCGTTTCTTTCGGTGGTTCTTAATGTCTTTTTGATATTCTTTTTTTTTTTAGTCCTTTTGATCTATTTAATCTCATAATACCTCACTTTTCTTTTTCTACTGCATGGGCATGGCCTGGTTTCTTTAGTTTTTCTTTTAAATGATTAAGAGATGGAGTTACGTTCCCATCTGGTGGATGACTGGAGGGTGGATGGAATGACTTTGACAGCTTAACATAAGGAATGAAGACTATAATTTGCGGAATATGATTAAAAGGTTCGAAGATTATGCTGTATCAGTTTTCAATCGAAGAAAATCATTTGCTTTGAACTAAGTGAATTACGTGGGAAGAACATTGAAACACGCTTTGTTAAGCCGGATAACCGTGCAAGAATCAAGGAGAATAACTCTGTCAAGACCAACATCTGGTTCAAAAGGAACTTTACGAAGGGGAAAAATGTGCTAAGACTCCATTCTTTCCCAATTATAGTGCATCTCTGTCTTCTGTTTTTTTCTAAGTGACTAACTGAAATTTTCTGGCTATGATTAAAATGGAAAGGAAGGCATAAAAGGCATATTTAGTTATTGATTGTTATTTACTTTTGACTTGTTAGTCTCTTCTCCTTTCCCATGGGATGTTCATCAGAAAATTAAAGCTCATGATCTTTCTTGATCGAAAATATTACTTCTTCATGGCAACAGAGTAGAATTTTGTCTAGAGATTCTCCTTGCTTAACTTTATTACCACTGATGAGGCTGCCTTTATAATGTTAGTTTATAAATGGCGGCAAAGCCACTTCACTTTACACTACAAGACTGTGACTGTCAATATAATTTATTTTTCAAGAGTTCGCCCTTAAAAATATGTTGGATCACACTTCAATCCAAAAATTAGCCGACCTTCTTGTTTAAATTAAAGTCAATCATTATTATTTTTGTTTGTAGAAAATCATCTGGGGGAAGATCAGCATTGAAAGCTAAGTTTCAGGTGGCAAAACAGTGGCCGGGTGGGACTTGGAAGCAATTGGCATTGCTCCCACTAGTGGAGTCTCCTACTCTCGAAACAAGCATGGCATATTATAATTGAGAAACATAAAACTAGTTCCACTTTGTACAATATGAATTAAATATTGCATCACTCTATGGACATGGGTCCTAGTTTTGACTTGGATACTGAACTTCTTGGGTGGAAGCCACCTCCTTCTGCCCCCCAGGCAAGGGTGAAACACCATCCTGCTTTTGGATATTCACAGAAATTGAATATGCTATTATCCCTTTTCATCTATGATTGAACTTGGCGGGCCATCTGTTGGGGTCATAAAGCAATGGTTTTGATGAGTCTCCAACTTTTCTAGCTCCTTCATCTACAATAGCTTTAGGTATTCGGATTTGATCATAATTTAGTGGTCCCTGAATTGTGCAATGCAGAACTTTAATAACGTAACATTGTATTTAACTAGGACTGGCTGGTCTGTTATTGTTACAGTGGTAGGTGTTGTTGGCGTTTGTAAGCCCATGTGAAGATGTTTGCTTCAAGAGCCTTGTTAAAGCAAAGACAGAGACTAGAGAAGGCAAGATATTGATACTAGAGGGAGGAGGGAGTTCACCATCACATACTCTCACATGCATCACTGTTCTCAAAAGCAGGCCAACCTGCCCTATATAAGGCTTTTTAATGCACTGCTCTTGGTGTGTTAAAAAGCTGCCTTTGTGCCCTTTTCACATGTTAACACTTTTTTGCTTTTGGGATGTGTTTTATTCCATCACCTATGGGTGGTTGAACTTGGGCCCTTTTTAACATGAACCTCCCTATCCAAGACAGCTCACCACATCTTTAAATCTAATCCTTAATTTTCCAGTATCATGTACTAACCAAGGTAAACAGCCTCTTTCAGAAGGGATAACCGTTCATTCCTAGTCATTTTGTGATTACTTAGCTCCTTGTTTCAATTCTTTTGAGATGATATTATTAGGTTTAAGATATATTAATTAACGTCTCATCAGGGAGATCCTTTGTATCTGTGCTAATTGCACCCACATTGCTTAGTGTTCCTCTCTGCCTTGGCCTCTTGAGGAAGATCGTCAAGAAAAATCTGTCGGAATCAGAGAGAGGTTGGATAATGAGGTAAAGTAGCTAAAGATGGTGATGGATGGGTAATAAGACCCCGCCTTTTGCTTTGTCCCCAGAAAGTTTTGGTGGAAAGACGATAAGATTTGAGGAAAAAATTCAAGTTTCATTGTATGTATTCTTAACAGAGAGCCATCAGCCCTGCCACCACGAGTTTTTTCTTCTGTTTACATTAATTAGAATCTTGCATGTGGATTGATGTGTAACATGACAACGTCAAATTGACTCCTTAATTTGTTGTTTCTGTTCGTCCTTCTGCTACCCACCAAATTATCGCCTAATCTTGTTCTCCCTCTTTGGTTAATGTTGATTCTCTCATTTGACCCATTTGACTTGTTAAATTCCGCTGTCAAAAAGATAGATTAAGGGTGTGTTTAACCAAACGTGTTTGGAAAAGTGATCTGGAGAATAGATCTGGAAAAAATAGATTCTGTAAGAATAGATTTTGTAAAAAATGCTGAGAAGTTGAGAGTGTTTGGATAGTTGTTATCAGAAGCACTTTTTATATATACAAATTACTAAAAAAAAGCATAAGTTAATATGATATTACAGAAAAAATAGATTTTATGATATCTTTAATTTGAAGAAATAAAATTGTTAATAATATTTTTTACCACATAATTAATAATACATAAGATAATATATTAATAAATAATTAATGTCTATTGTATTTATAAAATATAAGATTAAATATATTTAAAAAAATATGTTTATAAAAAAATAACAAGATACATATCATATGCCCTCACCTCTCTCTTTTTTCTCCAAAAGCAAAAAATTTTGCTTTTTCCAAAACCATGGTTTTGAGTCAAACCATGGTTTTGACCCAAACCATGGTTTGGTTTTTGGAGAGCTGTTTGGGTAGTATTTCCCCAAACCATGGTTTGGGGTGCTATCCAAACAGAGCCTAAATTCCGCAACATACCAAGCTCGTAAAGAAGTTGGAACTGTACACTTTTTGTTTTCCTTTGAGTTAAACGTACTTTGTCAAAGTTGTGTTTATAGAAGAGTCTCTCCATGCTAGGCGATAATTAACTGCATAATGACAGATATTAAAGGGAAGATTAATCTAAGAATTAGATGAAAGCAGAAAAGCTGTGTACGATGATGTTGTCTATGATTTTTCCTCCACATTGAATCACGATTTGTGGAGAAGAAACTAGTAAAGTGAATCACCCTGCCCGTACTCGCGCTCACTTATAGTAAACTACCTCTGGTCCTTAATATAAGACATGTTTGACTTTTATTTTAGTCCTAAATATAAGACTCCAATCCTTTTGTCTTTTATATTTATACATTTTTTTTTTCCAAAGTAGTCTTTCTTACAATAATAGTTTTAGTCAATACACTTGACTAATAAGGATATTTTAGGAAAGACAACACCTATTTAGGATAAATAACTAACTCAGTTTATTTCCTTAATCTCTTCAAATTAGTCAACTGGCTCTTATAATTAGGACCGGAAGTAGTATCATCAATCATCATTTTATTCAAAACGTGGAGATATTTTTGGCTGGCCAAAAATAAATTTTTAGTCCTTTACTTTTGGGTAAGATGTCCTCTTGATCCTTTAATTTTATAAAATATTTTGTTTAGTCATTTAACTTTTAAAATTGGTATACAAATTATTTGTATTAAAATTTTAAGTGTTAATATGACATTTTCAGACACTAATATATTAAATTTAATTTTAAAAATAACAATGATTAATTACACAAAATCATCATTTGCGGATAATATTGTTAGTATGAAAAAAACGGAAAAGATATTTTTAAAAAAAATTAACAAACTAAACTAAAACCTTAAATAAAATTAAAAGAATAATAGTATGCTTTTGCCTGGCAGCGATCACAGGGACCCTTGCTCGAAATTCATGCCCATGCTCTTCCCTTCACCCTGACGTGGCATTGAAGTACTAGATGATAGCTGATTTGGGTCCCAAAAAGTACTCGTATTTTGCTTCTTCTTTTTTTTAATACAGAAAAAAGTATTTTGCTTTATGAGTTGAAATTCTTTGGTCGGCAATTAGAATCAGGTTCAAAAGCAAGTGCGAATTAAACCGATCTAAACTATTGGAGACCTAACCTTATTTTCAACGGAATTTAGCAAGCGTATTTGATATAATGGTGGAGTAATTGAGAAGGATAAGATGTGGATCGTAGAACTAAACCATCACCTCAACCATGTCACTCGTCTTAGAATGTAATTGATTGTCTAAGGACTGGGATAATTTATCACATTACACGCACCACGCAGCATTCGATGGTGTCATGAGTTCTGTCTCTGCAAGCTGAGAAAAGGCAATATGCCTCAGTAAAGCCTACCTAATTCACCATCTTTGTGTACAGTCAAGTTCTCTTGCATTGGTTCAGCTTCCAACTTTCCACCATCATTGCGGACAACTAATAAGAAGCCATTCTCCCTCTCCCTCCCTCTCTCTCCACAACCCTCCTTCATAATTATGTCCCGTGCATCCTGATTGAATTTCACTGTTACAAAGGAGGAAAACGAAAATTATCCGTGAAATCTCTATTAGCATCTTATTTTCCCTTGAGATTCTGATGAGACGACCAATAATCTATTGAGAATATCCTCTCCTCTGGTCCATAATCTTCTGCAAATGGCGTTGTGATCCCCTTATAGCTATATTCTTTTACTCTTTACTTTTCTTTCAAGCACCTGCTCCATTCTCTGGTCTCGTTTGTGAGGGCAATCATGGCTGTTTCCTTTCCCATCCCATCCACTTCATATCATTAATCACGATCCTCCATAACCCCTGTATCCTCATAAAGGAAACCCCTCTTCTTTCTTTATCATGTTTCTAATATATGCTTACTATAACTAGTCGGTGTTGTAATGGGGTTTTGCTGATGGTTCAACTGCTTAATTTATTATTAGCCCTTTATGTTGTCTTCATGTGCCTGATTTAGTGGTTTTCTATATTTATGGCATGCGGGCATTTCGTATCCTTTTAATACTCACTTGGTTTGGTCGCCTACTGTCATAATTTCCCAGTAAGCCTTCTTCTGCTGTATTAGTTCTATCCCCACACTGGCCCTGCATTTTTCTAAGGTCGTTTTCATATCTAACGTACAGTACTACTATCCCGGATTACAGAATTCGATGGAAAATGGTTTGCCTTTGCGTCAGATGTAGTTGATTTGGGCTGTTCTGTTCTTTTCATCTCAGACATACTATCTACATATTCATCTATCTTCCTTCATTCTTCTTGTTGGTCTTTCTGAATACAAAGTTTCAGTATTTCCAGTCTTCGCAATGCCTCCTACGTATTTCCCTCTTCGGTGGGAGAGCACCGGCGACCAGTGGTGGTATGCTTCCCCGATCGACTGGGCTGCTGCTAATGGCCACTATGACTTGGTTCGCGAGCTGCTTCGTATTGATAGCAACCACCTTTTCAAACTGACCTCCCTCCGCCGTATTCGGCGCCTGGAAACCGTGTGGGACGACGAAGAGCAGTTCAACGACGTTGCCAAGTTCCGTTCTGAAGTGGCCCGGAAGCTGCTTCAAGAGTGTGAATCCAAGAAAGGCAAAAACTCTCTCATTCGAGCAGGCTATGGTGGGTGGCTTATGTACACTGCTGCTTCAGCTGGAGATTATGGTTTCGTTCAAGAGCTTCTTGAGAGGAACCCACTTCTGGTTTTTGGAGAAGGAGAGTACGGGATCACTGATATACTATATGCTGCGGCGAGGAGCAAGAACTGTGAGGTTTTCAGGCTGCTGTTTGATTTTGCAGTTTCGCCCAGGTTTGCCACAGGAAAAGATGGTTTGTGGGTGGAGCATCTTGGGGAAATTCCTTCTGTTTACAGGTTCGAGATGACCAATAGGGCTGTTCATGCAGCTGCAAGAGGAGGTAATGTCAAGATTTTGGAGGAGCTTCTTGCCAATTGTTCTGATGTTTTGGCTTATAGAGACGCTCAGGGCTCTACTGCCTTGCATGCAGCTGCAGGCAGAGGACGGGTTGAGGTAAGGCTCTCTATCTCGCCAATTGCGCTCCTTCAGTCTTCGCTGCTTCGCTTGATTTCTCATTACTATTTTTATGCATTTAGTGATGAAGATAGAATGTGGTGAGTCAATGGGAAACTTATCATTAGTTTAGGTGAAAAATGGATTCTTTTTAAGGGATGTTGGCTTTGGGGTTTAACTTCAACTATTGCATTTAACATTGCCAGCAAAGATTAGGTAATTTGATGGAGCATGCCCTGAAGATTACCTAATGAGAACAATAAATTGAATATGTATGCAAAATCAAGGAAGAACTGACCATGATTAGAAGCCCAAAAAAAAAAAAAAGACTCTTTTCAAACATTAATGACTCTTCTCAAAATTGTTGTAAAATATAAAATTTGTTGTGGTTCATGCAGGTAATTAAATATTTGACATCAACTTTCGACATTATCAACTCGACAGACCATCAGGGCAACACAGCTCTGCATGTGGCTGCTTATAGGGGTCAATTAGCTGCAGTTGAAGCTCTAGTCTCTGCATATCCCACCTTGATAAGCCAGAAAAACAACGTAGGGGAAACCTTTCTCCACAAGGCTGTGTCTGGTTTCCAGACTCCGGCGTTCCGCAGATTGGACAGACAAGTGGCGCTTCTGAAGCAGTTACTTAGTGGGAAGAATTTCCACACGGAAGAAATCATCAATGTGAAGAATAATGACGGAAGAACAGCTCTTCACATGGCCATCATAGGAAACATCCACACTGATCTTGTCCAACTCTTGATGACGGCTCCTTCAATAAACGTCAATGCCTGTGATGTGGATGGCATGACCCCACTTGATTATCTCAGGCAACACCCCGATTCAGCATCCTCAGATATACTCATCAGAAAGTTGATCTCAGCCGGGGGAATGTTTGGCTGCAGAGATTATGATTCAAGAAAAGCCATAGCTTCACACTTGAAACAGCAGGGTGGAAGCAGTCCTGGGACATCCTTTAGAATCTCAGACACGGAGATATTCTTGCACACAGGTATTGAGAATAATGTTTCACATACTTTTGCTGATCAGGGAAATCCAGGAATGAGTCGATCTTCATCAGAACACAATCTATGCGGGTCCAACGCCGAGAATCACTGTAGTGCAGCCACCAGTAAAAGGCCTAGTTCTGTCACGGCAGCTAGACTGAAAAGAGTCCTTCAATGGCCTCGCGGGAAGGAGAAGAAAGCTGAGAGATTCAATGGAGAAACGCCAACCCCTCTCAGAGAAAGATTCTCCAAGCCATCGTCGCTTCCAAACAACAAAAGAACACTGTCTGTGAGGAGTCAACAGTCAAGTCCAAACGCGAAGAAGAAGTTTGCTTCAGGGTTAGTGCATGGAGTGATGCAGTCCGTGCCACAAGTGAAAGTTTCGCGCAGGTCCCGCTCGAGTTCATTCTCAAAATCATCAATCTCCTCGCCCAGATCATGGGACAAGCAAAAGGGTGTCTATATTGAGAATGATATGCCTGGGCCATCTTACTCGAACCAAGCACCTGAAGAAGATGAATCGCCACATATGGTGAGGCGAGCCTCTGTGAGTCAAAGGTTGAGAGGGCATTACTTCTGTTTCGGTGCAGCAGGACTTAATGTGAAGAACACAGCAAGTAGCAGCAAGCAGCAGGAAAGCCAGGACTTCAAGAATTATGTTATTTCGGTGGCATAATTGGTTGGGGAATGGGATTATAGCTAATTCCTGACAAGTCTGAGATGACACAAGGGATAAAAGCTGCTTGTTTAATGTATAACTTCTATGTCGAAATAAAGAGCAGCTGGTTCCTTAGCTGTGATTTCAGTCTCCTTATAGATTATACTTTGGTGGTGTATGTTTTAGGTCGTGTACGAGACTCCACTTACTAGTGGTAACTATGCTGTGTTAAATTATGCTTCATATCATATCAGCCTTTGGCAGCAGGTCAGCGAATTTCGGAGCTCAATTGTGTGGGAATTACTATTAGCATGGTTCGGGCACTGATAGTATACTTCCGTGATGCTAAGAAATAAGCAGCAATCCCCACCGCTGCTAAAAGTTTATTTACAGATATGCTTGTTTAAGGTTAAACAAGAATTAGGCTGAAGCAAAGATTAGCAGATTTAGATATAGTCATGATCACGAGTTCATAAATATAAGAATTTAAACCAACAGCACACATCAACTTTCATCTCCTTTGATCTGATTCACAAGTTAAAACGACTTTTAATTAGTATCTATCATTCAAAAATTAACATACTACCTCCGGTCCTTACTATAAGACCCTGTTTAATTTTTATTTTAGTCCTAAATATAAGACCCCAATCCACTTTGACTCTCATATTTATATATTTTTTTCCAAAGTAGCCCTTCTAACAATGATAGTTCTAGTCAATACACTTGATTAGCAAGGATATTTTAGGAAAGACAACACCTATTTAAGACAAATAACTAATTCAACTTCCTTAATCTCCTCAAATTAATCAACTGGCTCTTATAATTAGGACAGAAGGTAGTATATGTTAAGCTAACAGATAAATAGAGCAATATATTTTTCAAATTCAATAGCCAGGAAAAAGAGCAACAACTTTTTTCTTCGAGGGGAAAAAAAAGAAGGAGCAGCAATCTAGTTTTAATTACCTCTTAGACAAGGGAATAGAAGCCATAATTCTCCCTATAATGAAATGAAAGGGCAGACGCGGGAGCCAGGCCTCCGGCAAAGTACGTAGACAGAAGCCATGGCCCAAGAGGAGCCCAGTACACCAAAACAGCACCTAGGCATCAAAGTCCATTTCAGTTTCTCTCCGGCCCACGCATTCAGGCTTTGTCTGCTCACCTTTTTTGTACCCCAAAAAAAAAAACCATGTAAAAGCAAGCAGCAGCCACGGTACGGATAATGCAAAACCTCAATCTGTATCCGTCTGAATAAAAAGATTACTCCCTCCGTTCCTTATTATAAGAGACGAATAACCGAATTACGTTGATCAAAAAAACAGTTAAAATTAGTTAAGAACAATTAATGTGTAAAAAGTATAATTTTTTTTCCAAAAATACCCTCATTAATAAGGAGAGAGAGCATGAGAGAGAACAATGGTAAATTATTAAAATAAAGAGAAGTGAGAAGGAGAGAGAGTATGAGTTGGAGATAATAAATATGGGCAAAATAGGAAATCAACACAAAAAAATAGAGACAACTTTTAAGTGTCTCTTATATATAGGAACATGCCATAAGCATCAAATGTCTCTTATAATAAGGAACGGAGGGAGTAGTTTGCAACGGGTTAGGTCTAGTGGGAAAGGTCCCACAAGGTAATAACCCAATATTCAAATCTTCACTAAAAGATATACTCGCATTTAGTACTTGACAGTACTTATTTGTTAACTAATAGGGGTTAGGTCTAGCAAAAAAAATTACTCATTTATAATGTGATGAACCAAAACTTCAATCTGATTAGGAAAAGTGCCTACATTTGTATCCTCTTTCTCTCTCCCATTTAATATTATTTTCCCAACATAACGTCTCTAATTTTACTTTTTGTCTCTTATGGATATTTCAAAGAAACTGGCACGATTTTTACATAACAGTGACAAATAACCAACTTCATCAATCTTTTAATATCCGTGACATAATTAATTAAATCTTATATTACAACATCAAAGTTTGCTGCTTTTATTTATCACACTGCCATGATTTTCTTGCACATGAGGTCATGCCCCCCAGAAAAACACGCTTTGTTACGTTGTTTTATAATGAATGAGAAATTTGCGGGTGTTAACATCACCAGGATGAAGCCATTCAGAAACATCCATAGCGTATCAAGTTTAATCAAGCAACACTTGAGTTGAAATTATTGCAGAAAATTCCTTGCCACCTCCGCGATGGGAACCGCTTGTGGTTTGACTGGACACTCGAGGGTTGCCACCGCTCATTACATTTCAAAATCATAGTCCATGCCACATTTTTCAAAACAATACATTACCTCCTATTCTAAATATAAAAACTGGTTAACTAATTTAAATAAATCAAGGAATAAGTTAAGTTAGTTATTTGTAATAAATAGGTGCCGTCTTTCTTAAAATATCCTTACTAATCAAGTGTCTTGGCTAAAACTATCTTTATCGAAATGACTATTTTGAAAAAAAAAAGTATAAATATGAGAGATAAAGTGAATTAAAATGTTATATTTATGACCAAAATAAAAGTCAAATAAAATCTTATATTAAAAACCCGAGATAGTATTCAGGTTTATACAATTTAGTTATCGCGTCTTTTGTTCAAAAATACACTACACGTTTCAATTATTGAACAGTAATTGAACTATAAATACTTTTAAAAGCGATCGATTGCATTTGGTTCAGCTACAAGAATAGTAGTACTTGCGTGTGCTTGTCATGTAAGAGTACTTTAACTTAATCTCATTTTTCAGATGATTACCTCAAAATGCAAAATTTGTCATCAAATAGACATAGATGGTACATCACACAAGTGGGAGGAGGGGAATAGGGGATGGAGACGTAGATGACACGGCCAAAGTATTCTTCAACTAACTCATAATCCCGCTCCCCGTTCTTTTTTCAGAATCTCATCTACATTATTGAATTAAAAAATAAATAGTTCAGATTTAATAGTTTAAAAGCTATTATTATTATAGTCTATATATAAATAGGAAAGAGAAGATGAATATTTTTTTTTGAATAAATATGAACCATCTATTTTTGATCTAATTGCGGATATGAGATTATGAGAAGAATGTAAGAAAAAGGGATTATAAGATAATACCGACCTCTAATGCTACCGTGAAATTTAAATACTTTTAATTCCATTTTTTTCATTATAGAGAAGTAGCCCTTAGGTGCGGTTTAAGCGATTGTAATCAGAAACAAACCTCTTAAACATTAATTTACAGGGATGCGAGAGGGAGTTTTGATGACACAGGCGTGCGTAACAATTAAGCATCTAGTTAGTTATCATTAAAACTGTACACTATTTTTTGGTCAAAATTAAAAATATATTCTATGATAAACAAACGTCACAGACTAATATTTAGAGTTAAGAGGGACTTATGAAAATGCACGGAAAGCTGGTGGTCAAAGAAAGAGAAGTATTGTATTAAAAACGAGAAATTAAAATGGGGCGTTAAAGGTGGAAAAATTTTAGAAAATGGCATGCTGCGATGCAGTGTTGACCCTGAGTTTCTGGTCTTCGCCATGTGATAATGACATCTTGCAGAAATTTCGTCGCAGAAACCACTGAATTGTATCATCATTTCCCACATTCAAGTATGCAGTCCTTGCTCAAAAAAAAAAGTATGCAGTCCTTGCTTTGACTTTTAAATGTTTTTATGATGGCCCTATCCTTTCCGTTATTTCCCTTTCGCCCCACTAAATGCGATCGTTCCCACTACAGTGGACCCCACCCAACACTCCGGGTAAAACACGCTTCTCCCGGAATCTTTTTTTTTTTTTTTTTTTCATATGCACACTTCAGGAATCTTTTTTTTAAAATTATTATTGTTATTATTATAAAGATTATATGTAAGAGTAATAATTTAAATAATTTACATAATATTTACCAATAATATATTCAAAAATAAATATCTACATGCACTACTGTTCTCTCTTGTTATTATTTCTCTGATCATATGGGTTATGACTCGATGATAAGAAATTACTGACATAAAGAGAACCAGGTCGACTAAGACGACTTTGAAGTTTTGAACGCCCACAAGTCGACGAGATTGAAAGCCGGAATGATACAGCTTCGTACAAATTGCCAGAGAGGCAAGGGAGAGAACCCATCAATTATTGGGAAATGATAGTATAATTAATTAAAAAGAAAAGATGGTCAACTATGAAATGTTTATCAAAACCGTGTATTATTATCGGAGGGAGGCAACTGGGGAGAGAAACCTACAGGAACTCGCAACAGAAAGGTCAATTAACCTTAAAAAGAGTAGCATGTTTCGGTTGAACGCTGGGCAGCTCATATGGGTGTCAAGTGTGAAAATATGTCATCGACGACCACGTCAACTTGCAAAGCATTTAGAAAGACACACACCCACAGATCATCGCGCTTCCACGGAAATCTCATCTTAATTCACACCTCACAAACCACCAGCAAAAGAAGGCGCAAAAAAAAACAAAGAAAGAAAAGGAAAGCTAGCACCAACTTGTCTTTTTTTAAAAAAATAATAATAATACTATTAATAATATGTTCACATGAACACTGATTCACGACGCTGGATACGCTGTGTCCATTTGGCTCCATTGCCAGAATAGAGTTGAACAATAGGGTAGACGTGCCCAACATTCGTGGCTTGACCGGCCAAAAATATCAGGAAGAAAAAGGGGCCAAACCACCTCACTTTCCTTGCCTTATTTTACTCTCTTTCACATGAACCTCCCAACGATAATGCTATTCAAATTATTTATATATAAATACCCGTAAGAAATAATGTAGCTGAGCGCATAAGCTTTCCGCTTTATTTATTTATATATATATATATATATATATGCATCGTTATAATACTGCCTGATGAGGTAGTTGACATGTGTATATATATATTGGCCAAAAAGTTGACAAATAGATGACGATCGACTAATATTATATTATATTGTAATGTGCGTGATAGGGTTAGAGATGGGTTAGGGTTCCACGTAGATATATATATCGTACTACATATCGATACGGCAATAAGTTGTTGACGATGGCGAACTTTCTTTGAAGCTGCAAATATTTGAATTTTACGATGGTGGCACGCAGAAAAGTGGAAATTCTCTTCCTTATAATTTTTTTTTTGGATTACTCCATCCGGTATCCCAGGAAAATAGGCGTCTTTCAGCCGTAACAACGTCCCCAAACTAATCCGGATTCGGGGGCTTGCAAGGATCCATACAGACAGCGCCCTCTGGCTTCTTGGAGTGCTGTGTTCCCACGTCTCGAACCTGAGATCCGTGATTAAACTAGGATGATCCCAGCCAGTCGACCTAACCGGGTTTCTTCCTTATAATTATTCATCACACACAGCGGTATATGCTCCAAATAAGTGACTGTGACGGCTTTCGTCACGGAATCTGTGCTGTTTCACGCACTGAACTCAAACACGTGTCAAAATTTGACCCAGTCGTTGATGTACATCTCAAACTTTTAATTTAGCGGGAAACCAAACGCTCCTTGATATGTATATATCTTTATCTAACATGTTTAGGAATATAGTTGACCGCGAACTCAGTTATTCTTGCTGACCCCAAAAAAAAAACCTGAATTATTCTTAAATATTTATTTTTGCGAGATTATTCTTCAAAACCTAACTCTATTCGAACTGCCCCGGATGTATATTAGCATTTATTATTGTTGATGCTGCTGGTGGTGGAGGGATAATGTTCCAGTTTTTTTATTTTTCAATTTTAATTATGAGATTCTCGGTTAATCACGATCATACATGGATATTTGAAGTTCACTATAATAAAATGATTACGTTGCTTCATTAAGAGGTGGTTTCAAGGAAAAGAATAGCCGAATTTATTAAATTATATTCTTTCCGTCCCTTATTATAAGATCTAATTTTTTGAATAGGTTTATCTTTTTTATGAAATCTTTTTTTGAGTTTGTCTAAACATTTAATGCATTATTACTTATTTTACCCCTAGTTTAATGCATTTAATACATTCTATTTCTTCATTTATTTCACTATTATTCGTTCATAACTAGTTATCTACCAATTTACATATAGGGGTATATTTGAAAAAAAATTATATTTACTGCATATTAATTACTTTTAACTAATTTTAATTATCTTTTTAAACTGCACAATTTAGTTAAAAAGTTCTTATAATAAGAAATAGAATAGTCTTAAAAACTAAATAGATATACTCTTTCCGTCCTAATAGGTCTTAATGAAGAGTAATAATTTAGTGTGTCCTTCAACAAGTGTGAAATGCCTCACACATAAATTTAGAAACCCCATCACTGTCTTCTCATGGGAACAGAATTCCCTCATTTTGCACTATCAGAGGGGATGCTTTGACGACACTGTTCGTACGCTTTCACTTTACCGGAACTTGTGTTTTTGTTCTGAACATTAATCTGGCGGCCGGGAGCAGCATATACGCACGAGGTTGTTTGGAGTCACACCTAGTATGTGTAGTGGGCTAAGAAATGGAGTCGGTCGGGTGGAGATGAAGACAGGTGAATTAGTGCTCACTGAGATGAGATAACATAATGGTGGAAGACCAAGAAAACATTGCTAAACCAATAAAATGAAGGCCATCTGAGAGTACATGAAAATATTATTCCAATTATTTTGTCTTATTTAATTAGTGTCAACTGAGAGAAGAAAAAATTAATACTTTTCCCATTCGAAATACAAAACTTCAAATTCATGAACCCCCGAAGCAGAAACGACAGCTTCTCGCTAGTACGAGGCTCCAAATATCTTGTGAGGTATGGGCCCCGGGGGAGGGCGCATCCAGCCTGGCAAAGTTCAGTGTAACAATTAATGCGATGTACGTGACTGCCTGCGAAATTCATTGTAACCTGGGAAATTTCCAGGAAATAGGAAAAAACGGAATCAGCCAAAATTCTCACCACACAAATATGAGTTGGTTTTAGTCCTAAATATAAGACTCATTTTTCATATTTATTAATTTTCTTTAAACTATCTCTATAGATATTCCATCAACTATAATCAAGTAGAAGAGATAAAAGAGGTATTAAGAAAGATGATTATAGTGTTTTAGAAAAAATGTGTCACTTTTCTTATAATTAACTAACTTACATAATTTCCTTGATCTAATTAAATTAGTTAAATGGGTCTTATATTAAAGACGGGATGAGTGTTTACTTATTTTTTACACTGAATCTTGTTATTGTATTATTTATTTATTATGAACCTTTTTATAATTATATCTTTTTCCTTAGATCTCATGATAACTTTCTTTTGCAACTTTCCTCTGTTTCCCTTTACTGCCAGGAAATAGCTACTTTACTCTGTGTATTTTTATTTCTTTATAAAACTTTTTAATTTTCTAATGCCCGTGTCATGTTTTACTCTCAGAAGTCAGAACCATAAAAATAACCTCCTTCATTTGAGAGTTTATGTAACTTCCCAATTTTCATTCTACGTCTCATTATAACCAACTTTATATGTTAATTTCTCCACTTTAAACATATATACCGCTGTGATTACCACTTAAACTACTTTTTAATAAAATGGAGTGTCTTGTTTGTTGGGAGAGAAACAATATGGGGAGCAGGGCATGGAGAACAAATGCCATCGTCATTGTCGCTCATCAACCGTATTGCTGCCTCCGTCCTCCGTCATGGCTGATCAACCGCGCCACCGCGGCTACCACACTCCATGGTTATAGGGCAAATGGGTGACTGTATGAGAGTTCCATGGCCTAAGGAAGTCGTTTCCATTGATTTCATGGAAGTTGGCTTCCAATAATACAAGTGCATATGTACCTATCAAACAAATACCACAATGTGAATATATTCATTGTTTTTCTTCTTCTTCTTTTTTTTGGTGGGATGAATCAGGACTCAACTTCTCTTGTTAAAGATAAAAATCCTAGTTCTTAGTTCAGAATGCAGAAGGTCGCGCCGGAGTGGCGCAGGCGTAATTTTGATAGTGCTGCGTTTTTTCTCCCTCAGTACAGAACTTGTATTCTCACGCGTTTCGAGTCATTCTTGTTATTGTTTCCTTACTCTATTAATTAAATACTGATAAAAGGGTGTCATGGGTCCCCTCAAAATGTGACACCGCTACTACTAACTAATATTAGCAAATAATTAGGGGAAATTGGCTGTAATTCATCAACTGAAATTTTATTTGGGAAATAATCCTTGAAATGTTGTAAATGTCTGAGGTGCTTCACTGTAAATAAAGACGAAGATAAAAAGATCAAATTACCCTTCAAGTTTAATTATATACTATCTCTAATATGAGGTCTTATAATTAGAACCAGAGGTGATATATGAGAAAGAGGAAAGACCAAAACAAAACAAAAAAGCATATAAAAGTAATTTGCATGTTGGTTTTGTATTGCAATTAGTGAAAGTTATTATATTTAGAGTAAAATACTCTGATTACCTTTCTAATTTGCATCAAGTATATGAATCTTCCCTCTATTTTAAAAACATACAATTTAGTCCAATTAGTTAACACTGTTAGGAAAATTCTAAAAAGATTCTAAAAGTATTATTTTTAACTGAAATTTATATTAAAATAAAATTTATTTACTATTGTACTCCTCATTCTAATAAATTTCTAAATTATATTTTTACAATTATATCAATTTCATTTAGTTAGGACAACCATAAAAGATTTGATTAAAAAATTGACTATTTAATAAATATATATAAACTTAACTAAATATGTTTATAAATTTTTATAACAAAGATGCGTCTAAAGTTTTGAATCATAAATTTAAATAATTTATAAAAATTTTTAAACTTATATCATTTAAATTTTGCGATAAACAAAAACTATATATTTGAAATATGTTTTTACAATTTAAAATAAATCAAAGTAAATAATTTATAATGAATGTGATAAAATATTAAAATTATAAAATTTTATGATTTAGATCAAAATTAATAAATTTTATAACATATTAGAAATTTTAAAGATAATTATTTTTTGATTTTGGAAAATATAAATGTCTAAATAATTATTAATTTAAAGAGGGGTATTTTGGTCAAAAAATAATTTAAAGTCAGACTTAACGGTCAACTAATGGTTTGGGTGGATAAAAATAAAATCCTATACATATGAGGGATGTTTGTGTAACATATGTTTTAATTCTAAGAGAAATTTATATACATTTTCTAAAATAAAGAGGATGTCTCTATAATTGAGATAAAATAGAAGGGTAATCGATATATTTTACTTTTACATTTAAGAAGGCTATTTTGCACATTGCGAAACATAATTATTGCACTGCACATTATAAAAACTAATTGCATACTCCAAAAAGTCATTAATTTATAAATTATGAAAACTAAATTTATATTAGGGAATGCCATTGACATATTATGGAAGGTAGTTACATTTTTTGTTAATGGCTGCATGAGATATTTTAGTACCTCACATACATAATTTTAGTGAGCATTCACAAAATAAATTTTTAATTGGGGATTTATGACCAACTCTCGTTTATATTTAAAAAGACCCAATTATATAGAGATTCTCGTAGAACTATTGAAAGGATATCACTTACATCAAGTTAAGTTTTTCAAGTACACATGTACATAGATGAAAAGTTTAACTTAATGGATATAAGTGACTTAACGCAAATATTTTTTTTATTGAAAATTATATACTAGTATACCTTTAAATTATAGACTAATCATTATCGTCGAGGATTGAACTTTTCAAAAAAAATTTTGCCAACTTTAAACTTTTCAACTGAACGTACTAAATAAAACTTCTTTTATAATTTCAATTTCAATTATGTTCAATAGTTTTGGCTAAAAAATGGTCAATAATTTAATCAACTTATATATAATCATAACTATGGGAATAAGATGAAGATCATGGTATAAACATGATAAAAAATTTGAATTCCTCAGAAGAAAATTATTGAATTTCAGCGTCATTTCGTTTCTCTTTAAATGGCGGGCTTTAGAAAAGTCAACAACTTAAACGTCATAGTCCGAGAATTGCCTGCCTTCGGTTGTTTGCTACTTGCTTATATAGGAGACACGGCCTGTGATCTTTTTGAACCCTCAAAATAATAATATCAGAGCTGAGCTCTCTCATCTGTTCTTTACTCCCATCTGTCTTCTTCGTCACCCTCAGCCCCATGGGGACTCAAGCTCCAAACAACGACTCTTATGACCGCTCTAACTCTGTATGTCATTCTTTCTCCATCTTCCTCCCCCCCCCTCTCTATATACATATATATGTTGACGCATACTTTTCCACCATTTCTCGTTTTATTTAGCTACCGCACTTCTTTAGTTTGCTCCTGTTTTAGTTTCTGCAAATGTTCCTGAAATTTTGAGATAACAAAGAAAAAACAAAAGACAGAGTCTTTTTGGGTCTGGTTCTGGGGGGAGAAGGAGATAAATATCGTACTTGTTTGATTATTTTCATGACGATGAACCGATTGCTTTCTGATTTTCTCCTTCATCTCCGTGACCTCTTGCCCTGGAAATGGCCTGTCGTTTCCTGAATCTTCTCATAACATGAATCAGTGACCTTTTTGTAGACTCAGATGTTGCACACTCACGTGATATCGGTGAGTGCTACAAGATCCTATAATCCTACACTGTTCTGGGCAATTCAATCCCTCTCCACAACGACGTTCTCTGATTATTATTTTCCTAAATTGGGAACCACCACCGAGTTTTGATCGAACTCAGCCGTAGGAGGTCTCCTTTTTATTTTTAGGTCCTTGAATTAATAGTGTTTTTGAAAATGAACAGTCCCTGCGGAGACTTTTAATTAGAAATATAGCACATCTTCTTCCCCGGTGGATCTTAAGATAATATTATTCCTGAAAAATAATGGGATGACAACCAGAGAGAGGACCGAATACTTGCGTTTCCCCATGGTTGACCAATATGTTATTCTGAATCGACGTTTTTGAAAAACATAAAAAAATACAGTATGTGGACGCATACATTTAAATCAATCACCCCACTTGGACGTTTTGAACATATCTCCTCCTATTTTATATGATACGGTGAGACGTAAAATACGCTCGAGTAGTCATGCACACAGCTAATTGTATGGTTAATATACCGCCAAATCCTTTTTTAAAAAAAAAGAAAAGAATTAAGATAATTTCCCCCTTTCAATATATTATTACTATCTCCGCATTGTTTGACTTTTCTGGCTTCCACATGGCATGATAATATAAAAAGTAAATGCCGTGCTTGATTGGCGAGCATTACAAAATTTTACTCGGATTAGTTTTATAGGCCCCAACATGCCCTTTCTGTGCGGAGTACTCTTCGGGGGAAAGGAGGTTATTATCGTAATTCAAATGGCAGAGTCGGCCGTACTTTAATTTCTTCTCTGTCACGCAACCTTCCTTCCTCCCTTGTGTGTTTTCATTGGCCAGTTGAGCGATATTTAAGGACATGGCGCGTGGTTTATAATTATATTGATTAATTCTCAAAACGGCGAACTATTATCTTTATTTTCGGTTCAGATTCTGCTTTATGAAGAACGGAAAGTTCCCAATGAGGTTCAATTAACTTATTTAATGTAATTTTAAATCCTGATAACGTTTCGATGGCGTTAAGCTTTTTTTTTTTTTGTGTGGTTATTTTGTGAAGCAGTTTCTTTGTAATGAATCAATGGAGATTTTTGTTAATGGGGTAAAAAAATGAAAAAAAGAATGGAAGTCAAGCTTTGTGGGGCATGAGGAGACGCCAAAAGTCATAGCTGTCGTGTTCCAACATAAACATAAGCACTTTGCAAGCTAACGCACGAATAGCCTTTGCTTTTACATTGTATCTCCGAAAAGTTTGGGACTCCCTGAGTGCGTTGTCTCTGTTTCCTTTCGATTAGACGAATCATTGGACCCGGATATGTGAGTAAAACAAAAACACCCTCACCCACACTCAACAATTACTTCGAATGCCCCTTGAAAAGCCAGACCCACCCTTTCTCGGTTTCTGCATGCCGCCACGACTGGATTTTTCTGATTCGTTAATGCATTTCTGTTTATTTTGTTCCTGTGAATGAGATGAATTGTGTCTTAATTTATTCATTTTTATGTGAATCCAACAGGCTGAAGAGACAATAGCTAAGCAGAAGGAAATAGATGACTGGCTTCCAATTACTTCTGCAAGGAATGCAAAATGGTACTACTCAGCTTTTCACAATGTTACAGCCATGGTTGGAGCTGGTGTGCTCAGTCTCCCTTATGCAATGTCCGAGCTTGGATGGTAAGAATTGCATTTTACCTCGATTTCTCTGCAATATTTTCTTCCTTCTTGGAGTCCAATTATCACGCAACAAAAATGATTTCTCTCATTTCAAGCTGCACGAAGTGCACACTAGGTGTTTGTCGATATGACGATTGCAATATTTTTCTTTCTGCAGGGGTCCTGGTGTTACTGTACTAGTCCTCTCATGGATCATCACACTTTACACTCTCTGGCAAATGGTTGAGATGCACGAAATGGTTCCGGGGAGACGTTTCGACAGATACCATGAGCTGGGTCAGTATGCTTTCGGTGAAAAATTGGGTCTCTATATTGTGGTTCCTCAGCAACTTGTGGTTGAAATTGGGGTCAACATTGTCTACATGGTCACTGGAGGAACGTCATTGCAGAAGTTCCATGACACTGTCTGTAAGAGCTGCCATAAGATCAAATTGACCTACTTTATTATGATCTTCGCCTCAGCTCACTTTGTGCTATCCCATCTCCCCAACTTCAACGCTATTTCTGGAGTATCTTTGGCAGCAGCAGTCATGTCCTTGAGGTGTGCATATATATGTCCCTTTCTTTATCTTCCTTCCAGCTTCCATTAGTGACCACACAAGCACAGTTTGAATTTATTTTGTTTTCTTTTCTTTGTCCTACAGTTACTCTACAATTGCCTGGGCAGCTTCACTGAAAAAGGGTGTTATAGAAAATGTAGATTATAACTACAAGGGTAGCAGCACTGCAGGAAATGTGTTTAACTTCTTCAGTGCCCTTGGGGATGTGGCTTTTGCCTATGCTGGGCACAACGTGGTGCTGGAGATCCAAGCGACCATCCCATCCACACCAGAGAAGCCATCCAAGGGTCCTATGTGGAAAGGAGTTGTAGTGGCCTATATAGTCGTGGCTTTGTGCTACTTCCCAGTTGCTCTCATTGGTTATTGGATGTTTGGAAACCATGTTGATGACAACATTCTCATCACATTAGAGAAACCAGCATGGCTTATTGCTATGGCTAACATGTTTGTCGTTATCCATGTTATAGGAAGCTATCAGGTGAGGATAATTTGCTATGACTTGTGCTTTTTGGAGCCTGCTCTCCCTTTTCTGCCTAAAACTAACCAAGTTGTTGTTCTGTGTTTCTTGGTCTAGATTTACGCAATGCCAGTATTTGACATGATTGAAACCGTGTTGGTGAAGAAACTGAAATTCAGGCCTACTAAATTGCTTCGCTTTGTCGTGCGTAATGTATATGTGGGTAAGTAAACTCTCAAGGGCTTCCATACCATCTTCGGTCAATGTGCATGCTTTCGCGTGTAACTGAATATTGATACTTTCATTGCAGCTACCACAATGTTTCTTGGCATCACGTTCCCATTCTTCAGCGGTCTCCTAGGGTTTTTCGGGGGATTTGCTTTTGCTCCAACGACATACTTTGTAAGTGTCGAATGATTGAAAAGCTCAATCTAGTAAATAAGATCTCCTGATGATTAGCATTTGGTTTAACAATTCATTCTCTTTCGACTCTCAGCTTCCTTGCATCATGTGGCTTGCAATCTGCAAACCAAGGAGATTTAGCTTGTCTTGGTGGACCAATTGGGTGTGTTATAATTTCTTTCTCTCTTCCTTTCTAATGATGTTTCAATCAATTGCCCTTTGATAAATCGGATTAAATGGATTGAAGTATTGCTTTACGGATTTCAGATCTGCATTGTGGTTGGAGTGTGCTTAATGGTTGTGTCACCCATTGGAGGATTGAGGACAATCATAATTAATGCCAAGACCTACAAGTTTTACTCTTAAAAAGTAAAAACCTTCACTCACCCAAGAGTGATGCATATCATAGAAACGAATGAGGCACATGGATGTGTATTGTAGAGCCTGACTCCTCGGATTTACTGGCAAATCATGGCAACTGATCGAAATAGGTTGGCTCATGATGCATCTATCAACCAGCTGATGGAAAAGATAACTACGAGCAGAGGAATCTTATTATATACATTGGCTTTGTGTTTTCTTAATTATTATTATTATTATAAGTACATATTGCCTTTGTGCTTTTTATGGGAAAACTGGAATAATAGTCCCCTTTTGTGTGAATTGGCATTGATTTTCCAAAAATTTGCCATTGTCCTTTTGTCTCTGGTCCAAGATTATCTGGGAAGGAATTGGGTGGGGGACCTCTGTTTGCAATAAATATTTCTTACTATATTCTGCCGAACGCCCGTACATTGCATTTGTGCGGTGTAGAATAGCTTTTTTTTTTTTTCATTTTTTGGCCGGGTATAGAATAACTTTCATACGACGGAAGAAGTGAAAAGTGCACGAGTACAGCGACTTATATATTTGTTGGGGAAAAAAAATCACATTAACACAAATTTAATGCTAACCTTATTTTTCGCGTTAATATATCAAACCAAAGAAGATACTTTAATTTTCAATGTGGTACCAAGAATCATATGGTACAAGAGCTGGCTGAAAGTTAAATTAAATTTTAAATATAAAATATCAATATATTTTGTTTCTCATTCCTCCCAAATATCTCTATTAATTGTAAAAGATTTTCACCAAAAGATGATTCTAATCATTTAATACACATAATTCAAGAGGATAGTTTAGAATCATCAACATACCTTTGTGATAAATAACCAATCTAAATAATTTTTTTAATATCTCTAAATTTTTATTTAGCTCTTATATCAAGAATATAAAGTCTATTCAAAATTTTTGATTTAATCCTAAATATAAAGTCTTATAATACTTTTACTTATTATTTATTGAGGCATTTTTATCCCACGAATTAAATTTTAATTATTAAATGGCCGATTTGTTTTTTTAAAAAAACATTACAAATTTCTATCCTCTCCAGCCAAATGTACGAGGCAGGGTGTTTTTAAAGATAATATATTGAATAAGGATAACCAATTTTATCACTTTTTATTCCACACATTAATCAAAATAACTTTATATTTAGTAAACTTATCTAGGATTGGGGTGACACTATCAACCTCCACTATATTCAAAAATATTAGAAAGAAATAAGTAAAAAAGTCTTTATTTAAAAATTTTATTAACTAAAAAGGACTTGACATGTATTTATACATAAAGTATAACTATTCTAATTCAGGTCTCTTCTGATTAATACAATTTTTAAATAAAAATTTTTTACTGATTTTTTTCATATAATTTTTTTTGGCCTTGAAATTTTTTTTCTTCATATAATTAAAGTTATGGGTTCCGAACGTATCTCTGGGCCTAGGGGTTGCCGCCACGTGCCATCCAGCGAGTATTACAAAAATTTAAAAATAATTATATGGAGGATTGATCGACCACCAAAAACTTCGATATTTTTCAATCGGATGACTTCGGAACGGCGACCTTCACGGTATCCATTTTTTGGAAGCTCCAACACACCTTATTGTGTTTACACACATTATTTTTGTTTCATTTTATAAAACCATTCATCACAACATAAAACAATATACTCCTCCAATCTTAAATATAAGATTCTTATACTAATATGTATAAAGATTTTATATTTAGGACCGAAAGAGTACTTATTCATTCGTTAAAGACTAAAAAAGGCTACATGTATGCGTTCTCCTATTTGTTTAATGAACCTATACGATTTTTTTCCTACTCCATTTATATTTATAAGTAATTTTTAATTAATTCACACAAAAGTATAGCAGTTTAAAATTAATTAATTATCTTAAAATTACTCTATATTTCCAATCTCTCTTTACACTATAATAATTCAACAATATCCGTGCCAAAGACACTATTAAAAAATAATTACTTTACAAATTTGACATGGCTCACAAATCGGGATACGAAGAATTTCTAAAAATTGATTAATCAACAAATAAGAACAGAATAATTACATGACATAAAGGATCAAGTGGCCAAGTCAATGAAATAACGCTGACCACTTCAATGCAAACAACAGACTTGCGATTTATCGGATGCCCAATTCAAGTTATCTTGTTTGGAACATGGATAGAACTATGTTGTATTGTTCGATTAATTCTAAAATTTAACTTTTAGATATTAGAAATTTATAAAACAAAAAAAATCTTAAATCATAAACTTGTTTGATTCTATTTTTTATTTGTAAGTTATTAAAAACAATTATGCAGGGTAATTTTTCAAAACGAACTTTTAATGCTGGGAGGGAGTTGAGAGACGAAATGCAATTCAGTTTAAGTCCGGATAAAATTGAAAACACCTTTTAAAACAGTATTAATATGAATAATCTATCTAAATTCAAATATAAATCCTAATCAAATCGATCATAATCCTAATTGAAACATAATAAATCCAAATTAAAATATAATAATAGGATAATTTAAATATCCCAACTCATTGAAATCACACAAAATTCAAAAAGATAACATAATCAGCTAGACATTCTTTCATTAAAATGCCAAATTAGTCCATAAAAAATCCGAGGTTTCAAACTCCAAAATATATTTCAATTGTAAAAAAACTTGAAAATTAACTTTTTAATGGAAATAGAAACTCCATTAATCAAAACCAATACGAATCCAGATCAAAATATGGATAGCTATCATATCACATACTCACAAAACCGTTTGCTGGTTTATTTAAGGCAGTAGCGAAAGATCATAAAATCCTTCCTTCATTACATTGAATATAGATGTAGACGGCCAGACATTCACATTCCCTCCCCGTTTCATTCTTCATCCCCTGTTCATCCCGTTCTTACTGATCAGTAAATACGTGTATGCTGAATACCAATAACCTTAACAGGTAATCATATTTTAATTTCGCCTTAATACTGAACATGTATGAGATCTCTATATATACGTCAAAGATATATAAGTGTCGATCGTGCAAAACAAATTGCCGACTTGGAATTACGGGGCGTCATCTTTCGGGCGGACTTATCCGAGAGTCTCCGTCACAGACTATATCGGTGGCGTTGATTTTAGCTTTTAAGTCTGAAATATTTCCCATTCGATTGTTTCACAGATTATTTTCTACTACTCTGCGACCACAAAGCTCCAAACTTGATCTCCATGGGAACAGAGTCTGAGTCTGCAATGAATCAAACTGCTCATGCCGCAGAAAGAGAGGGAGCCTCCGTCCCATCTTTCGAGGTAAACCTGTTCTGTCTCTGTTTTGCTTACTTCTGCGTTCTCGTTGTTGTTGTTGATATGTTGAGATTAGAGAGACCTCAATGTGGGGAAAAAATGACAGGTAGACACACGAACAGCGGAGCAGAAGGCAATAGATGAATGGCTTCCCATAACTTCTTCCAGGAACGCAAAATGGTGGTACTCTGCTTTCCACAATGTCACCGCCATAGTCGGCGCCGGCGTCCTCAGCCTCCCCTCCGCCATGTCACATCTCGGCTGGTACATCCAATACACTCACATTAAACATACCATCTTTACGAAAAACTCGTCATTTTCTTCATTCAAACCTTCAGTTCATGTCCGATTTTCCGGGCATTAATTTTATCTGATGATCTGAGAATACAGGGGACCTGGTGTGGTGATTCTGGTATTATCATGGGTAATAACTTTGTACACACTGTGGCAAATGGTGGAGATGCATGAGATGGTACCGGGAAAGAGGTTTGACAGATACCATGAATTGGGTCAGCACGCGTTTGGAGAGAAGCTAGGACTGTGGATTGTGGTGCCGCAGCAACTGATATGTGAAGTAGGAGTGGACATAGCGTATATGGTGACCGGAGGCAAATCTCTGCAGAAAGTTCATGACCTTTTGTGCAATAATTGCAAGCCCATTAAGACTTCTTACTTCATCATGATCTTCGCCTCCGTTCACTTCTTCCTCGCTCATCTCCCCAACTTCAATTCCATTACTGGAATCTCTCTCGCTGCAGCTGTCATGTCTTTGAGGTAAGAACTAGCATGTTTCATCAATGGCGAGTCAACCCTACACTCTCTAGTAAACCGAACATGTCTCTTTTGTGTCCTTTTCCTCATTCTTTTTCTATGTCTGTACTTCTCGTTTTCAAAATCTGGGCCCACTCTTTTGAAGGAACTGTTTGCATTATTTTGGTTTTGAAGGACAAAACAGTACCGCTAGTTGCCAAAAAAAATGCATGATTTATGTATCATTAGAATAATTTGTTCCTTGCAAAATTAGCATACAAGCAAGTTGCTTGAAAGTGAAGTTAATTTCGTCCTAGTTATTTTATCAAATAACTCATGAATTCTCCTGTAATGTGTTTTGGAATTTTTTTTTTTTTAATGATGACTAGTATTAAGCTTCCAATTGTGGAGGCTACCTTATGCAATATGCATCATACACTCATATAAGGGACACATTTGTTGGTTTGCTCCTGTAATGTAAACAACATGGCATGCCTTCGATCTTATTCTTATGATCTTATCTGAAAAGCTGTGACTCAGATGATGCAGTATATATATCGGAAATTGTATACATTAGTTTCCGATGGAACAGTCTTTTGTCCCCATTCTCCTTTGCTTGACCCTCTTGTCTTAAAACTTTAAAAATAAACATGTCTGGGATGTTATATGATTGAGCAGCTACTCAACTATCGCCTGGGCGGCTTCTGTGCACAAGGGTGTTCAACCAGACGTGCAGTATGGACACAATGGCAGTACTTCAGCAAATACTGTCTTCGGCTTCTTCAACGCTTTGGGAGACGTTGCTTTCGCCTATGCGGGACACAATGTGGTGCTGGAGATCCAAGCAACCATCCCCTCATCTCCTGAGAAGCCATCAAAGGGACCTATGTGGAGAGGAGTGCTCATAGCATACATAATTGTGGCCTTCTGCTACTTCCCTGTTGCTCTTATAGGCTATTGGACGTTTGGTAATCAAGTTGCGGATAATATCCTCATCTCTCTGGAGAAACCAACTTGGCTTATAGTAGCAGCAAACTTATTTGTTGTGGTCCATGTTATAGGAAGCTACCAGGTGTGCAAGTAGTGCTTTCCCTGTGAAATTTTTCTTCTTTATGTCTGAATCATTTTCTAAGTTTCTTGCCTCTTTTTGTGCCTCTGGCTCTGCAGCTATTTGCTATGCCTGTTTTTGACATGATTGAAACTGTGATGGTAAAGAAATGGCGTTTCAAACCATCTCGTATCCTTCGTTTCACTGTTCGCAATTTATATGTTGGTGAGAACATAAGAATCCCTATTCTCTTTTCTTTGTTTCTTAGTTGTATCAAGTTCCTTTCATTGGGTTCACATCCATCTGCTTCTCATCAAGCATAAATGATTTGGTTCAGCATTCACTATGTTTGTGGCAATTACATTCCCCTTCTTTGGCGCTCTGCTTGGATTCTTCGGAGGATTTGCTTTTGCCCCAACAACCTACTATGTAAGTCCCTCGCTGTTCTATTCTCTGTAATCAGTATATAAATTTCTCGCCAAGTTTTTTAATAAACAGGCACATAATATAATTTCTGGCCCAAAATTACTTGACATTTAACTCTTAATTATAAAACTTTAAACCGACATCCTATATGATTTCTGTTTGTACCATAAAACAAGATAGGTCATCGCTCGCTAACTGCATTTTGTGACATGATTTGATTCGTCAGCTCCCCTGCATTATATGGCTTGCTATTTACAAACCTCGGAAGTTCAGCTTGTCCTGGATCATCAACTGGGTATGTTCACTTGAATGATACATATTTAACTATTTTTACTTCATAAATTTGATTACTACTGAACCTTAGACTTAGTTTACTTAAGGGGGTTTCACTGTTTTCAGATCTGCATTATTTTGGGAATCCTGCTGATGGTTGTGTCACCCATCGGAGCACTAAGGCAGATCATAGTCAATGCCAAGACCTATGGATTTTACCAATAAGATGATGCTCACCAACACCCAGCCTCAAGTTTGATGCTATAGAAATAAGCACTAATGTAACTAGTTACGTGAACAAAGTAGCAAAACTTTGAAATCTCCCTTCCCCATATTCCGTCATGTTTTTCTTGCGTTTGATACCATTTTAACTGCGTATCAATATATTATTTATGCACATTATTGTTCTCCCGCAGATGTTATGTGGGTATGAGATCCATGAAACTTTAGTTAGCCTAATTGCATTATTTTCGTTTGATCTGGTTCGAGACGCACGGGAATGTAATCTCAGGCATTGTATAGATTAGTCAGATTCCAGATAGGTGGATAAAGCTAAACTGACGTGACCGAGAAAGGAACAAACATAAAACTTTTCAGCATGGAGTATGTTGTTAGTGATTTAAAAAGTAAAATGGTAACGTAACAAACATCAAATGCTTATAACATATAAGGACAATTATGTAGTTTTGATGATTCACCCCGAAGGTTTCTGGATTTAGACAAATCACTCAGCTCCCTTGGTCTTTATGTTTATATGGTTATATCCATCTTTTCATTTAGGAAAAAAGAAAAGAAAAGAAAAATTGCTGAGAACGTCTTAGAGAAGTAGAGACAATGGTAAATGCTGTCCTTGAATGGAACGAATTTCATAGGATTCTTCAACGATAGCAGCTTCGTAGGGGCCCACCTTCCCGACACTGGCTCCATATCAGGTATAGCTCATTTTCTATGCTTTACCCAAAAAGAAGAAGAATCAATCAACGAAGGGTTAAATACAGAAGCCAGAATTAACCAAGTGACAGTTTTCTATATGGGTAATTGTCACATTCCATTATGCTTATGCTTGCGCAATCAGATATATCTTCACTTCAGTTTCGTCATAAAAGGGTGCCAAATAATTCAAGTTCCCCTTTATTCTGCGAGAATTTTTTTTTCCAAAGGAACATAGCAAATCAATTTGATGGTTTGTTTCTCAAAGGGCAGCCGCGACAACGGTCTCCTCACCTAAGAAGCTATCCCTTGAGCCACCTGAGGTTAAGGTTTCTGCAATATCTACTTTATTTTTGGTTCAACTTTTCTTGTTCCGTGTCAGTGTTCCGTTCCACGGATCTGATCTTCTTTTGGAGTAAAAACTGAAGAAAGCCATCATGTGTTAGTGTGACATTTCCTAGGAGGCACGCGCATTTAAGAATGATGTGTGAGAATGCGACATTTTCCACACGTGGAATGAATGCGCCCAGACCCCCCAGATCCAGAGGAAACAACATTTTGAGATCCCTCTAGCTACCACCATCAATTACTGCGTTCACGTGACGTCAGTTCCCATCTTCGTGGCCTCTTAACTTTGATATCGGCCCTCTTTTATGACCCCAGAAAAAAAAAAATCATTCCAATGCCGAAGTCAGTTTGTCGTGTTTTCCAGCAAATCAATTCGAGTTAGAGAACGTCTTTTGCTAACAATATCCTTTCCGTTAAAGAATATCTGCTGCTACTGACGCCATGCCCACGCAATGTTAGTTTACGCCCCGAAGCTTCGTTTTCTCGCAGGCTGTGTTCATATTGGTAAGCAGAATTCTGTTTCACGATACACTGATGGAGTGAAAAAGACCGCATTGTTATCTCATTTTCTTAATATAAAAACTAGCTACTTAATTTAAATAAATTAAAAAATTAATTAAATTAATTATCTGTAATAATTAAATATATGAGTTAGAATTATTATTACTACAAAGACTATTTTAAGAGAAAATAAATAAATATAAAAGACAAAATAAATTAAAATCTTATATTTAAAATCAAAATAAAAATCAAATTAATTCTTATATTAATAACTGAAAGAAGTATTATTTAGCAATTACTCAGTTGCAAAAGAATGACCGTTTTGAGTTTTGATTTTGGAGGGTGTTTGTCAATCTTTTGCGCAAATCAAGATAAACACATTATTTTGATTCCATCCAAACACGTTTTATATTACAGGGTTTACCAATCACAAAGAGCGTTCCCTGTTTCAGCACCCTTTGCCGGACCTCTGCATTAAGACAGTTTTCAATTACCTTCTTTTAGCGTTATCCATCTTAGTAGTGTTTTGGTGCCAAACTACGTTTTAAGGATGGATTCAACCTGGACATGATTTTGCTGCAAGCCAGAACTTTGATAGCAGCTCAAATGAAAATACATCTGTACTTAATCCCCCATTTCAAAAGCTGAGAAAACGGAGTCCAAATCAATTTATTCAAAGGTAGAGGTACTGATTGCCAAATAACCCCAGTGAATTTGATTATATTCATTATTCATAGAAATCAAACCAAAAAAATATATGAAAGAAATTCTGGAATTAGCGCATTAAAAACACTGAACTTCCCATAAAATCTTTTGCAGTTCATAGTTACACTTACAACAGAACCAACTCAGGACGACGACCCTCCCCAGTACCCATTTACCCAAAAGAGGAACAAGAAGGAATTGGATCCAAAGTATGATATTGTATAATAAATACCAGTAATAATTAATGAACAGAATTGCGGATGACATTCAGGACACAGTATTGCCCTATCTTATTTTCTCCTCTAATTTTCTGGTTCTTTCCCTATACAGTTCAACCCAAAGATTTGAAATCCACATGATACTCACACCAATAGCCGTCAACACCACAGCAACCCAAGAAATCCAAACCCACTTTGGAATCAGACCATCGACAAGCCCGCTCGTGTAGAACGCTACCATTCTATAGATAAAATAGGGGCCAGCAAGACCCCTGACTAGCGAATACAAAATATAAAATGGAGGAGACAAAATATCATACACCTTAGCTGCAATCTGGACGTCGCTCTTTCGCGCTCCGGCTAGCGTCCACACGTTCTGGCACAAACTGGTCATCTCGGCGAGAATCAAAAGAAAGAGAATTGCGAAAGCCCCGTGAGAAACAACGTAGCGGCAGGTGCAAATGACGAAGAGAGTGGCCAGGTGGTGAGCAATGAATAAAACATCGCTAGGGAAGAAGACAATGTAGTGCAGAAGATCCATGAGAAAGTATGCGATGCTGTAATCGAGAACCATCTTCTGAAACGGGGTGTTGAAACCATCGAAGCCGCGGTTCGGGTCGTTGAGGATGGCGAAGGTAGCTAAGAACACGGCGGGCGTGCCGTGAAGAAGAGAAATAAAGCAGCTAGAGGCTTCGGGTCGGATCTTAGGGCTCCAGTTGCGAAATACGATGAAGTAGGCGACGAGGTAGGAGAGTAGAAAGACGGAGAAGAAAGGGAGAAGAACGGGAACGGAACGGGAATCGGAAATCACAGAAGTCTCCATCTGAAAACCTCAGCCTCAGATGGGGAGACGAGAGGAAGGGGATTTAGGATTAAAACGGAAGAATATTCTGAGGGTTTGGGAGTCGATTCCGATTAGGGGTGAGAAAGAGTATGAGAATAATTACATTAGCATCGATAGTTAGGAAAATAAAGACGAAGCATCCGAGGCAGAGATGCAGAGGGAGGGAGGGTAGATATGACGAAGAAGAAGGAATCTGATAAAATAAAACTAAAAAAATGGGAGCCTCAATCAATGGAGTTTGAGTTTCCAAGGCTTATTGCGTGTTAGTTGATATATATTATGGAATAGAGTACAAGATTTGCAACTTGGGAGAGATTTCTGGTTCTGCCTCCTCCTACAAGATTGCATGGATTTAACAGCAGTCAGCCTGATCTGTGACTGTGAAGATGCTAAACAATAGTATCTGAGTTCAGGTCATTTTTTACTCGGGAGTTTCCATTCTGCGGATATAACTATGAATTTGAAATCCTGCTCTTGCCCTTATCTCTCTGTTTTTTAATTGCTTTTTTTGTTATCCTTTATATGAGATGACGGAACAATATTTTGAATTACGATTTATTGTCTTCTAAAAATTAAAAAACTAAAAATCACAATCATAACTATTGACATAATTTACTTCTAGGCTATACCCAGTAATTTATTATTCTAGTTTATTATAATACAATGTTGTTAAAAAAGCATAGTTATTGAGTTTTTATATTTTGCATAGTAACATATTAAAATCAACACTGTCAACATTATTTTGAAATATAAAAATTATGCTTACTGATTAGCATAAATAATATATACCCAGAATCGTACTGTATCAAAAAAATCAGTTATGACTCTATTGAAAACAATATTAAAGTTACAAGTGATCAATAAGATAAGAAACATAAAGTTTAATTATCAAAATTAAATCATAATTTTTAAATAGCCGCAGAAATTAACCACAAAGTTTCTAAATTAAATCATCTCAAAAATTGAGATGAGTGTTGCGGATACTGCATCATCTTAAAGTTGAAATTGGATACCAACACACAAGAAGAATTCAAATCTTAATTTATCCCGTGTCCACCGAAATCCATTCTTCCACCTCATCTCTCAAATGTTTGATTGCGAATCCCTAGTAATTTTTCATTTCATAACGAGTGCCAATGTTTTCGGGGCATAATCGCACTCCGGCTATTTGAAACTAGATATTGAATGATAATAACATTGATGACCTTCAATGGCTCAGTACGCCTATTTTAAGGGTCAACTCAGTCCTCCTGTCGGCCCTCATTCCACTGAAATAAATCACCATGCGGAAACGTTTACGAGTCCTCTGAACATGGAACTGACAAACTACCAAGATTGTCCCAATAAATACATCAAACATATTACAAATACAGGCACACAGCATATCCATGCATGGAGCTACTTCCATTATCAGTCGTTCCTAATCATGAAAATCTAAATAACTATATTTTATACAGATTTAACTAGACCAAGAAAAGAGACGTTCGGGCCAAAAACTAGGCTAATGTATGCTGCCCTTCTACAAGGGATGGGGCCAAAAGGACCTTCGTTTCTGTTCATACTGCCCCTTTTGTAGTGCACACTCAATATCGTGTCTTCCAGAGGCTGAATGCTGCCACAAGAAAAGATGCTTCGTCCATTTTGTGATGGATTACTGACTCATCAGAACCAAATGGTTCCAGAGGTTCATCAGGACCCGGATAAGTTTACTTTGCTCTTGTATTCTTCGTTTTTTTTTTAGGGAAATACACTCATACATTCTTCAGTGATTACAAATTCAGCATAATTTAATCAATCTCTCCCTCTTCTACATCATTTACAGGATTTGGAATGCTAGGAGGCTCTCCATCGTCTTCATCATCATCCACTTTCATATATAATCCTAGCTGTTCCAAGGGATTTCCACCCCCAAACTTAAAACTACCCAGGCCATCCCGTGAGTGATCAGGACTAGTCACATCTACAGAGCTTGCTAATTGCTCAGCAGGCGCAGCTCTAAGCATATCCAAGTCTTCAAGAATGCGAGAATTTTCATTGATTTCAACAGTCTTTTCAATCTGCACAGATGCCAGTATATGTTGGAATAAAATCCAGAGCAAAAAGATGGACAAATGTACCAGCAACTATTACACTGCTCATTTACCTGCAGCAATGCTTGGCGTGCAGCTTCTCTCTCAAGCTCCCTCTTTCGTCTGGCTTCTGCAGCAGCTTCTGCCTCCGCCTGCTTTCGAGCATCTTCAGCAGCCTTTGCTTCTGCTTGTAGCCGGGCCTTTTCTGCACAGGCAATGATCAAAGTTGTTAAATCAAGAGACGGGCTATAGTTAATATATGAAGCTGAACAGCCTAAACAGGCTGAGTACTCCTATAAAAAGCATATTAATGTAACATCCAATCCAATCCACCTTTCCGACGTTCCATCTCCAGTTTTTCCCTTTCCTGGCGCAATTTCTCAGGATCCCCCTTCTCACCCTGGTCAGCCAAATTACATGCATAGTAAGCTCAACGGTTTTCTTTTTTTTTTTTTGGGATCAGCTATAAGTTCAACAGTTCAAGTGGCCCAAATTTTGAACTGTACCTGTGCCAGTGTTTTTTCTCGGGCTTTCAAGATGGTATCAGCAAACCGATTCTTTAACACAGCAACTCGATAGAGTTTTTCAGGAGAGACCTGTCTCTCATTTGGACCGCTGTCCCCTACAACATTTTCAAGAACTAATTATTCCCCTACAACATATTTGATATAACCATAAATAGCCAGGACTTGAATATATTCTTTTACCATCTTGACAGCAGTCTGAATCAAAAGAACTCCGTTTTTGCTGAGAATTATCGTCAAGTTGATCCAACCCACTTACAGATTCTGTAAGATATAGAGATTAAGAGCTCAAGCCAGTGCAACAGCCAAGAATCCTGATTGGCAAATAATATAGAGCCAACTTGCACATACAACTAGAATTATTTAGGTGAGGTCCACAAGGCCACTGATTGTGAATCATTACTGCCTTAGCCCAAATTCTGACTACGCAACAACAGAGTTTCAAAAATAATTCGAGGAAAAAATATAGATACAGAAATTACTACAGAGACACAAAAGGAAGAAAGCACACAACCAAGACAGTCCGTTTTTCTACGTTACTTTATTAGCTATGCAAATGTTTCCAAAGAAAACATCTTACTAGAATGCTGTTCATGGTGCTACGCGTATGAAATTAAATTTGATACTGCGCATTGAAAAAGAGCATGTCTAGCACACAAGTCAAGAAATTATGCAGCACAAGAGAATGTGTAACTTCCCAAAAAATAAAAATAAAAAATCTTTTTATGAGTATTATATGCCAACGAGCACAACCTCTCAAGTAATGACAGTTTAGTCCAACGCCACAATGCACTTTTTTCCTCACTAAAACAAGTACTCACAGGTTAACCAAATTTGCACAATTTCTTCTTTCTTTTCTCACTGTTTAAAGTAAAAAATATTAGGTGAATATTTTAATCGTAAATCAACTAGCAATTAAAGAGAAGACAATTTTGTTCACTAATTATGTCATCGTGTGTGTCAAAAGTCACTTCTATCCAAAAGCTTATGATCTACAACATGCTGATGCAAAAAAAAAAAAAAAGAAGAAGAAGAAGACACTTTGGATTTAATTGTGCACAAAGCACAAGCTCATAATCTCTTGTGCGTGAAACTTATTTTATTAAGAGACAAGAATAAATATTTAACCAAAGTTCAAAACTTGAACCAAAAAGTTTAAACAAGAATATATAGTAACAGAACATGTTTCTACAATCTTCTACTTTGCATTAATCAAGAATATTACACAATTGTCCAAAAAAGAAAGAGCCTTCAAACATCAATTCAACAAGGCATTTCAACACAAGTCTATGCTAAGTTTGAATCATCACCTTCAGCTGATAGCAGGAATCCAAAAAACAAATAATAAAATTCACCAAAAAAAATCCCAGCCAACCCTAAAAAGCACCAGAGAAAAGAACACAGCTTACACCACAGGAAGGTCAAATAACTCACGTGTACACTACACTGGACACTAACATCAACAACTGATCATAGTTCATTTGCCATTAGTAACACTAATGGTTTAACCAAAAAGAAGATGACAAACAAGTAAACCAAGAACAATCACTCACGTTGTCTCTCAAGAGTATCAACAACACTGGCCTTTTCATCCAACTGAGGTTCACAACCCAAATTTTCTGGTACCTGGAGAAGAATAAAGATGAATAGTTGCAGTGCACGTTGCTAAGAAATCAACAAAGGAGAACCCAAGAGAAAACAGCATTGAGAATTAAAGGGGCATAATGCTAAAATTCAATAATAAGAGATAAACAAATTCAGTTTCCCACTTATACCTCTGATGCGTTTGCTTGACTTGCTTTAAAATCATCAGCTTCGCTATCAGAGGAACTACTAGAACCTGTATCTGAATTCAGACATCAGATATAGCCAGCAACAATCAGATAATAGAAATAAGGGAAAAAGTACATTTAGTAAATTAATCGGCTTCATACAACTATGGAACAGCATAAAGTGGTCATAGATAAAAACATGAAGAGCCAAATTGATCCTCTGGAACTAGTGACAGAACAGATGCTTGAGACTCTTCACATTTGATAGGCACCTCTAAGACACAGACTCGAACTAAAACAGGGTCATGTGAAGAGGAAGTCACCTCTTGCTCCTCCTAGTAGTTTCACAAGCCTCCCTATTTTTCTTTCATCTTTCATTTTCACACCATGCATTAAATAACTCAGTTCCTTACAGAAGATCCAACACGTTGGGAACAACTTTTATCTTCAATTACTTTCCAAGAGATCCCAAAACACTATAACTCAGCAAAATGAACAGGCAGAGGAAGTTTATGTGCAAAACTAGGTCTAAAATATTGAATATGGACGTATCTGATTCTTGTCCTTTTGCATGCCATTTCCTACCAAGAATGATTAAAAAAAGGAAAATGAAGACAACGATAAAAGCCACAAGTCTTGTTGCAATGATGGAAGCAATAAGCCATCCTTTAACCATGGAATCTCTTCAACTTCTTATTTACCACATATTGTCTAACTGAAAAGAAAACGGAAGAGATCATTTTTTTGAAATGCTCAACACATTCGCATATCAATGGAAAAAGCACATATACCAGGCCCGGGCACATCTGTTAATTGCCATCCTCCCCCTAGAACTTTGTCCTAGCAAACTAAGGCTACTTAGTCTCACTAAGATTTAAGTTGTTAGAAATTTAACATTTATAGAGAGAGGATAGTGACCCCCGAAAAAACTGATTATTGACCTATTAAAGAAATGCAGAACTAAAATACATCTCTAATTTCGTCCAAAATAAAACCCACCTCCTCTACTTGGACATAGACAAAACTTGTGAAATAGTCATATTGATAATAGAAAACGAGAGAAAATAATTCAAGAAACTAATAGAAAAAATATTTTTACATTTCAAATCCAAATCAAAATTAAAATTCAGATATTATCATGGCTACCATCCAAAAATAGATGCATCTCATAGATTCAATATCTACTGTGAAACATAATAAGAGGGGGGGAAATACAAGATCTCACTAATCAAAGAACAAAATAAAAGCATAAAGCTGAGAGAAGAAAAAAAGAGCATAAAATTAAGCAGCTTTAGGATAGCTTGATATTTATATTTAGAATAAATTCATAATTGTACGTAAAAATTTTATCCAAAAAAGGTCTCTTTTCCCACGTTATGTCCCACAAGTATCCAATATATCCCTACGTCTGAGCCACATTACATAAGTATTAGATAGTAACAGAAATATTAAGTCATTTTAATCACGTCATATGACTACTAGACAACATCATAATCACATAGCGCAAAAAGGCATCACAGAAGCATCATTAATCACTCACCACTGGAGCTTCCTGGGCTCAAACGTTGATCAATTCCATAAGTTCTATCCTTTTCACTCTCCACAGGTGGACAGCTTGATACAGGGGGCTCATTTCCACCGATTTCTACGTCCTCATCAGCTAGATCATTACCTGCAAGCAAAAAATAACTAAATGAAAAGCCAATTTAGAGCGTGTGCACTTGCCCAAGCACTCGGAGACTTTGTATAACCTTTAAAAGGCTGCAATGATGAATTGCTAGGTCCAGAATCATTTAAGAGCTGCAACAAAAGATTTAGATAAATGTAAGTGAAATCAGACAAAGTGCTATACATGATATCCATTTGGCATACATGTAAGAGAGATCGGAATTTCTAAGCAGTCATGTCAGAGGATGATACCTCTATTTCACATGGTTCAGCTTTTGCAATATCCTTTTGCTTCTCTTGCCTATAGTCATCCAAAAGCTTCCGTAGTGTGAACAGTGTATCATCACTCAGATCATCAATATCAATCTCGATCTCTTCCTCTCCACAATCTCTACCATTTAAACTTTTTTCTTTCAAGAAATCAATGATATGTACAGGCAATTCTCCCAGCAAAGACTCCAATTCTCTGCCTAAGCTGTTCTTGTCTTCATCTGTCATAATCGGCTTAGCTGGTGGTATCGCTTCCGAACTAGGGGGCAACGAAGTGATTTTCCTCTTTTTTGATGGAGGCATTGGTCTAGCAGTTTCCACTGCTCCATGAGCGTCTGGTTTTTCTGGCAATGGAAGAGGATCAGCTCTTGGCAGTTTCTTCTCAATTGCTTTCCATCTCACTTCAAAATATTTACTAAGAGTGTCAGCCATGGTATGGACATCATTTCCAGGAGGATTATAAGCCATTGCATTTGAAAACGTAATCCTCACATCGGCAACAAATTCCAATGGACTTGAGTAAGCTCCTGATGTTATCTTGCCTTTTATTGTTCCCAAATCCATAGGATGCTTAATTATGGTAAAATAATCTGGAAGATTCAACTTCACAACATCTACAGGGGTGTTGAAAACCCAAGCATATTGATGATTCATCAAACGTTTCAACAATGCCTCACACTGTTTCAGCAACATAGCATTCGCAGTATTTGGCGAACAAGTCTGTGTTGCAGACTCAAACTTACCTGAAGATCCCCGGTTCCATCCTCGTGACTTGTTACCAGTCGGATTCAATTTCTTCCCTGGTACAGAATTGGACATGGATGATTTTTTATTGTTCACTATTCTGGGACCATTTTGTCCGTTGTTACAACTAAGAATATCACTAGAGGATGACAATGCAATAGCATTTGTTCTTTGTACTTCGACTTTTTTCTGGAGCGCACGAATCTGTTCGAGCTCTGATCTCAACCTATGTACCAAATCTTTTCTTTCAAATGGTGATAGTTTTGATAAGGGGAGAACTTGCATGGGAACACCAAAGGTGTCACGGTGGCTTGAATTCAAACTAATACATTTCCTCGTTGGAACGCTTGAGTCCTCTGAAACAGTTATTTCAGTGTCAATTTGTCCTGAGCTACCAGACCCCTCTGATTCACCAGCTGGCGCTACTGCATTGCCACAATAACCTTCAGAGTACCTACCACTCTTGGCCATCTTCATGCACAAGATTTCAATCACTATACCATGAGACAGGGACTGCCGCCTTCAGATTAACGTCCAATACCAATCATGGAAACACCGCCTCTGGTTGTCCGAGAAAAACTTAAGGCGAGCGCAGTAATTTGACTGTTGAGAGATGCCCGGAAAAAGTTAAATTTTAATATATTATCATTAATTTCTTGAAACCACACAATAATATTATGAACACTTAGTGGAGGAGGAAAGGAAATTAAGGTAATTTTCAAGGATCACGCTCTTCAAATTTGGGCGTAAAATTTTACAAGCATACAGCAGACGGTTGGAATCAAAATTACTGTAATCTAATATGGTGTGTAACTGAGAATTAACAAATACTAGGTTTTCAAATAGACGCTAGTCACTTCGAGCGATTCTTGAGTCCCAAATATAACTCTTCCACTTAGAACTAACAGAATAATTTCCGACGATGAAGTAATTATAAGCCAGCTGTTGAAAATCAGAAAGACCACAGAACTCAAATCTAACGAAGCCAAGCCCCAGAAGAACAATTACCGGTCGCCAACCGAAAATTCTGCGGCCTTCAGGGTAGCTCAAAGACCTTGTTCCAATAATCAAATATCACTCAAAATGATCCCCAGAAAAGAAAATCAGTAGTAGAAGAAGCACTGAAAACCCAGAGGCCGCAATTGAAAAAGAAGCGGCAAGATGAAAGATCACAGCTCAAGTAAAACCCTAGCAGAATCGCAGTTGCATGCACCAAATCAGAAGTCGACAAGCGATAAAGCAGGAACTGGGAACTTCCCAAAAGCTCAAACCAAGACTGCAAGAGCGAGCTTCAAGACCTAGACTGCGCGATGAGGTTGAGAGCGCCAAAGCAGAGAGCGAAAATGCCACCCACCCCTCGAGACTCCAGTCGCTTCTAAATGGCGAATTGGCGATCCACGCCTTCTTCCGACATCACGGTCAAACAAATCTAAGCCGTAGGATTTTGAATTCAATAGATCTCAAGGGGAACGGCTATAACAAGAGATGGCCGTCGGATTCACAATCAACGGATAAGATGCATTTGGCGATTATTATTTCTTACAGCTTACGCTAGATATGGTAAAATAGATTATTAAACAGGATTTACTTGTCTGACAGCCGCAGATAAGGACCTTTGGATCTGCTTGGTCTTTTCCTTGACACTTGTTTAAAAAAGAAAATACTCAGGAAGGTTCTTCACCGCCAGCACATGGGATTGATTAAATTAAATTGAGTTGCAAATTAATTAAGGAGATGCTGTTAATGGAGTTTGTGCATTTTCATTTTGCATGCCAGTCCTTACCGCGCTGATTTCTTAGAACCGCCACAATTTCTTTTCTTGCGTGCATTTTTCTTTTTGGAACGTGATTATAATCTATAACAACCACTTTAAAAATTTAAGAAATTAACGAATAAATAAAAAATTAATTATGTGGGCAAAATATTATTTGCGTTGAATAAAAATGTTTAAATAATTCAACTCTAATACTTTTTTATGCCGCCCATAAATTCATTTTTCCACTTCAAAAAAACCTATCGTTTTTATTATTTTACATTTAAGACGTTTATTATTTTCCACTTAAGAAAAATCATATTGTCTTCTTTTTTATTTTCTTTTTTTCCGGAAAAAAAATTATGTGATTTTCATGGGCTTGTATGTATTTTCCCCGCGGCAAAATTGAGATCCACTGTCAGCTCAAAAAAAAAAAAACAATGATACAAGGGTTCTGTTTAGCAAAGGGGTTAATCTCTCACAACATGAACCAATATTCGAATCCCTACTGAGAGAGATGTCCACATTTAGTGCCTGACAGTACCTCAAATAGGATTACTTCTAATAGATGGATACTTATGTTTTAGAAGGAAAAAAAATCCCCCGGATACACATACAAGAAGGATCTAGAAATCATGCCATGTTTTTTTGTCTATCTTTGAAGTGTAGGCCTGGGCCTGTGCAAAAACTGCATTGGACTGGGCCATCGATCTATATGTATGAGATTTCTATATCAAGAATAAACTTCTCACTGGCATCGAATCAAAACGTTTTTAAGCTGGAAAGCTTCTATTGCCGCCACATAGACGATCCATTATGATGAAAGAGATTCAAACTCGATGACAACATAAACTCATTTGAATTGTTAAAATTTAGCTTGAACCACCTGAAGTTACAACAAAGTCACAAAACAAACCTCCTGCGCGCATAACATCACTGATTTGTGTACAGAACAATACATGACCCAAAGTCCAACAAGGTCTTTTGATTTACTTTGATCATAAGGAATATGGCAAGTTTGAAAAGTCACTAAACAAGAATTATAATATTACTCTATATGGATAGGTCATCCAAGTGCGACCTGATCATTTGAGAGAGCACAAAGTTTTCTGATGAAACAACATATTGACAATTGTTGTCTACGTGTTGTCCTGTGCTTTTGCCAAGGAACGTACGAATCACTAAAGCAAACACACCAGCGGAGTCCAAGGGGGATGATCATTTCAGAAGACGACAAACTATACATACTTAACTTTATCCACCTCCTAAAGAAAAAAAGTGATTACAGGTACAAAGCAACCAGACACGTATGAGAAAGTAACCTTGATATTCCAATAATTGAATCATAAAGATCCCCTCATTCACACGGAAGTTTTCACATGCAGAGATGACAAAACTGCACAGCCTGAGTCTCAATCCCAGGAAATGAATCTGGAGGGCCACCTTACATCGGGAAGATTTGACAGCGATTTTCCCCCGAGCATGTTCAAGATAACAAGAACCAAACTAATACAAATTTTGATCCTTTAATCTTATTTTGGTTTTAGTCCATCAAATTTTAAACCATAAGTTTCGATCCCTTAAGTTTCTTTTCATTTAAAATATTGATTCTTATAATCTAATAAAAACTTGGACTATCTTTTTTTGTTTGGGACCAAAACCTATAGTTTGAAACTTGAGCAACCAAAATCTAAATAAAAACAAACTTAAGAAACCAAAAATTATATTAACCCACAAAAACCATACCATGAGAAGACAGTACAGAAAGCTAATGGGATGGTTTAACAGCAAACATTGATTGATATGGCAGAACCAGAAAGAGGCAGAACACAGTACAATACGATACAATACAATACATCTAGAGCGTCTTCTTCGAGTTTCTTTGACACGAAAAAAAGGAGCGCCTTCGGATACACTTAACCTGGAATAAGGATCTCCTCCTCAACTCCATTTCAGAGGTATTGAGTATTTGCCGCAAACTGATATGTGCAGATTCTCAGCAAACTTTCTGAGAGATATTTATTGAGGCTTGTCTCTTCCTTGGAATACGCTGCTTCAGTAGTTAACCACCTGTACCTTTGGGCTTATTCCAAGTGGCAGGCATCGATGAAGATACTGAAAATTAGGTATAAATATGTACACTTAACTTGTCGAGTTGCTTAACACGCAAGTCTGGGTCCCTTCAACCAAAATTTTAGAAGCTGAAAACAGGAAAAAGAGCTGTCAATAGTCATAAAGGAAGGACAAAAAGGCAACAAGAAATTCAAAAAGAATAAAGCCACTGAAATACGACCAATAGAAACTGTCACAGTACCCACTATATATATACATATACATATTTTTTCATTTATAAACAATAGTCACAAGTGAAGGCAATAGAAACCGCCAGGTGCCTGCTCAAATTATTATACATTTGTCGGCCAGTTGCTATAGGCTCTCGAATCTGTCCTAAAGCGATGGAGGACCACCTACCAGGCTACCCACTCAGCGCTACAGTCTGAGCTACTAATGCATTACATATAATAAATTTGCTCCACGATATTCTTGTTACAAAATTATAAAAACAGAAGGAGAAGGATAGGCTTCAATGCATAAAGCATCTCTCTCTTCAAAAAGTGTGCATATAGGAAGAAAGATTAATACCACCTCCTTGAATTTGATCATAAATACTAAACTCTAATCCATTATGATTCTCATCATTTTTCAAAATATATTTTAAAAGGTTTCTGCTTGTTCAATGCACATGATTAAAGAGAGTGGCTTAAAAAGACTAACACATATTTTTAACAAATAACCAATTTAACTAATTTTCTTAATAATTCTAAATAAGTTATCGATCACCTATATTAAGGACTAGAGGTTGTATAGTTTTAATACCTGTACGTTTACAAATTAACAAACACGTTGGTTTTAGCAATATATCTATTTAAATTTATCAAACATGTTTGCTTCAAATTTTAACAAGCATATCTAATTAAGTTCAGATAACCAATGTAGCCAACACAGTAATTGTAATTTTGTTTAGAGCCCAAAGCTGAAGCACAGATCAAATTTCCATGCACTATCTCCGGTCCTAATTATAAAACCAGTTAACTATTTTGGAGAGATTAAGGAACTTATTTAAGTTAGTTATTTGTAATGAATAGGTGTTGTTTTTTCTAAAATATTCTTATTAATCAAGTTTGTTATCTAGAACTACCATTATTAAAGGACTATATTATAAAAAAAAAGATAAATATAAAAAACAAAGTAGATTCGGATCTTATATTTAGAACCAAAATATAAGTCAAACAAAATCTTATATTAAGGACCAGATGTACTATATTTTATTTGGGCGCATAACAATAATAAATCCGTTCTCCATCCAACAAGAGACTTCAAGCCTTGTGTTTATATTACAAATTATACAGATATACATTCTCTACTATTATTTAATAACATCATGTGCATGTACAGAAGGTAATATCTTGGTACCATTTGTGCTTATATTAATATATACATCTACCCTACATCTGATTAGAAAGAAGTGCGGGGAAGAGAAAATTAGATGAGAAAATAAGAAAGAAGATAATTTTTCTCCTATTTGAGCAGCATGAAAAGATAAAAGGAGGAGAAAAGGACAGGAGTAAAACATGCATGGGTTCACGTATTTTCTTAAAGTTTCTAGAGTTGAGAGATTCCAAAGATAGAATACGTGTTCTGAAATTGCTATGATGGGTCCACATCTTCTCTATACTTTTTTATTTTCACTATAAAATTAATGACTTTTTTCCCCCCTCATGTTTTTACACTTTTCACCTATTCATCTAAACATATTAGGAGCAGATGCATTTTCTCTCCACTTGTGTTTTCCCTCCATTTTCCCAACCCCCTATCCTCCAATATGTTTTTCTCTCATTTATTGTTCTCCCCTCTAAACTGTTTATTTTCATCAATGTATGTATTTATGTGCATGCTTATAGAGAGAGCTTGTTATTTGTTATTATGTCTTTGTTACTTGAAACTCACGTCTCTATCAAAGACCTTGTCAGCCTCCTTCCCTAGGAGGGGACACACAAAGTTAATTGGATGCATATCCCCATTACCACAAAGGCACCTTGTGAACTTCATAGGTTCATCATGTACCAATTTACATTACCATAAACTGAAATTTTAAACATATACTAAAAGTTAGTTTAAAATTTAATTTGGTCATAAATATAAAATTCCAATCCATTTCGTTTCTCATATTTATTTATTTTTTCTTAAAATAGTCTTTGCAGCAGTTACATATATTAAAAGTTTTATCAAATAATAATTCTAGTTAATACACATGGTTAGCAAATGTATTTTTTTTAAAAACAACATATACTGAAAGTGGTATTTTAGTGAACAGTCAACTTATGCTAACTTCTCGTCATCCACTAGGCTCAAAATTGGATTCTAACCTAGTATTTTGCTTTAAGGATTTAAGCAACGCTTCTTCAAAAATATGTTATACCGTATATATACTTTAACAAACAGATTTAAGTCCGCATCTTTCATTTCACATAGAATTGATTAAGTAGGTGTGAATTTTACACATTGTAAAAAATTTGAAGCAAGCAATGCTATTTATGACTTATAAATAATAATACGTCTTTATATAAGTTGCATATGTTAATATTTAATAACAAGAATATATCAACTTCATATATTTTCATCTGAGCATAATAAATAAAGTCATCTCACTTTGCCTCTTAAAGAAGTCCATTATTTGTCCAATATGATGCATCAAAGTTTCACCTTTATAATTAAATTAAAATAAACTATACAAGAATTATATGTATAGTTTGCATGGTCCCCATCTCATGTTTTTTTTTTTTTATAATTTAACAGCGTTAATTAATAATTTATTACATCCACAAGAGATCCTGCAGGAGAAAAAAAATACCTTAATGAAGCTAGCTCCATACGCTATATAGCAATCAGCTAAAAAGAGAAAGGGTAAGTAATCAGCGAATCACCAAGTAGCAGCTAATGGGCAGTGGAGCAAAAAGACTGGTTGCCGTTAACAGAAAACACGTCATGAGGATGAATACAAAAGTGTCTACCCCACTCTAAAATGCTCACTCACAATTTTACATCATGCCATGTGTCTCTCTTCAGATATAATTTGTCCACAGCATTATTATTTCATGTATAGGCTGACAGCGACTAGGACAATTATTTGTTGGCTAAAGATAGATCTAACAAGTAATAATACAAATAAAGATGTACGTGTAACATAACATGATAGGTGAGTTATGATAGTTTTTCATATTTTAGAATATAGATGAGATATATAATACAAAAATCAACATATATATATATAAGAAGATAATATATATTAACTCAAATTATCAATAGAAGTTCACAACAAACTAAAACTATATTTACTAATTAGATTACAGAGAGAGAGTGCGCGCTCATAAACAAATTCACATGAAAAATAGCAACATAGAAAATTAAGTTAGAAATTAAATTCCAAATGCAAGAATAATGTTCACAACAAGCTATGATTAAAATTGAGTAAATGAGCTATATGATACATTATATAACTATTGGAACCGGATTTGTGCATCATAATAGATTTACCCATATTTTCTTTTAATATATCAAAATTTGTTGAGGCTCAGGAGATAAATTCCAACTTAAAGTTGATGCTTATTTATGATCATGTATATTTCAACTCAAAGGATATTCCCCACCCAAGCTTCCAGTCCCCAAGGCCAAGTTAGTTAAGCAATATTGTTTATCCAACATGTTGCTTTATCGGATCATCATGCACCATTCATTAACACCTATTTCAAGATCTCATAAATCAATGGTTAGATACCAAACTTCGGATATATCTTCTAAATCTTTGTTTCTTCACCACTCCGTACACTTACTAATGTAATCTTTAAAGTATTCATTTTCAATTGCATCATGCATCCGACATAATAATATTTTGAAGCCACGGATCGTCAGTGCTTGTCAAGTAATGTCCCCCTGTCCAATTAAAGCAATAAGTGGATCCCTTACGTAAGTTTCTGTCTTATAGATTTTAGGACATCTGGTCGTTAATGTCAAAAACTAGATAACTAATTTAAAAAAATTTAAAAAATTAATTAAGTCAGCTAAATAAAACAAATGTATGTTAATTTTTCTAAATTACACTATTTAATTATGTGTGTTAGAACCATCCCTTAATAAGAACCTGTTCCAATCTGTAGGATATTTTAGAAAAAACATTACAAACTTTAGAGACAAGATGGATTATAGTATTGAGTAAAAAAAAAAAAAATCGTAGTATTATATTTAAAACCAAATTCAATGTCTAATTAGCTCTTATATTAAGGATTTAGGATTTGTAGTAGTATTATTATATGTTATTGACAGTGGCAAGTGATTGTGCATGCGTCTATGAGTGCATGTATCCTGTTATTTCCTAACAAATAATGAACCACAGCAAATTTTCAAATTAAGACTAGACACCTTGCTCCAGTCTTGATCACTTGGGACTGTTTCTGTGTTGCGGCAAAGCAACTATATAAATGGAGTGATAAACTTCCCCGGAGAAAATTTTCAAGTTGAATGTTGGAGGTCTAACTAGAGAGATACTCTGATAGTGGATTATTTACGAAACCTATATAACTAAATAAAAGACAAAAAGACACAAGTGATATATCAGAAACACCTGCATAAATTGAGAAGCAAATACCAAGCCTTAGTATTGACCAAAGTATTACTTCCGGTCCTAATTATAAGAGCTAGCTGACTAATTTAAGAAGATTAAAAAAGTAAGGTAAATTAGTTATATATGATAAATAAGTATTGTTTTTCCTAAAATATCCTTACTAATTAAGTATATTGACTAGAACTACTATTATTAAAATGATTACTTTGAAAAAAAAATACAAATATGAGAAATAAAATAGATTGATATCTTATATTTAAGACCAAGATAAAAGTCAAACTAGGACTTATAGAGACCAAAGGTAGCATATGATAAGCTAACTATATATATATAGGATATATGAATCTTGTTTGAGTGCATTCCTAATTAATTTATTTTATTATGCAACCTGCATTTTTTTTTTTAATAGGATTGATCGTACCAGACAGACATGCATACGTGCATGCATCCTCTAAGAAAAGGGAAACCCTAGCTAATAAGGCCTCAAGCAAGGGATGAGGAATGGGGCTCAGCTGAAGAAAATACGTGAGGGCTACACGCATACACTGTAAAAGAAGAGAACCTTGATAGGTTGACATAACTATAACCCTAAGTCCATCTCAGGCTCTCCCCAATTGACCCCATAATCTGTCCCGCAACAGTTTGTAATAATTCTCTATAACAAGCTAACATTGATATTGGTTCACCCAAAAGCTATATAACAATGTATTTGACATGTGTCAGTGTGCGTAGGGTCAATGTGAATGTTTGGTGAGTGCACGTCATCGTTATCCAAAATGCCCTGTTTCTTTTGCCAACCATTGGTTAGTTTTTGGTACCGATGCTAAGGAAGGAAAAGCAAGTTAGCAGATTTCGTGGATAGAGACTGTTTTCTAATCTGTCCCCACTTCAACCCTGCCTTCCTCCTATATACATACACACATACATATAATCGACTAGCATTCTACTTTTTATAAGATATATTCATATTCAGCTGGCTCGATGACTTTTGGCTATACCTGTATGATTCATCTTCGAAAGCAACAATGATCTGGTTTAATATATTTAGCGACCCAAACTGAGGGCAGCTTTTACGTCCAGCCTCCATGCAAATCCTCCACCGTCCATTCTCCAAGCATCACAAGGAACCATCTGCGAGAATTTCTCCTTCCACCACGTGTACTGCACTTTCAACTGGCATGTGAAAGCACTGTACGCCAGTCGTTCTCTCATCACTAACCTCACCTCCATCTCCGGCGGCTCTTCCTCGTCCTGATGATCCAGGCTCATGAACATCTTCCTAAACGCCCTATTCACCCACACAACCCTATTTAAGCCGTCTGATACGAACCCTGGACACGAATCCCCACCCAGATTGGTTAACTTCTCCATGTCTGTATACCCTAACCCTAGCGCATCCATGCACGTCTCACTCACGCACTCCACCGTCACCAACGTTTCCACCGATTTCCTCACCGGTGGCATCACTGCCATCTGACCTAACGCTTGATTACGATCATTCATCAAGTTCAAGTTCAAGTTCAGCCGAATAAAAGGGTTAATAGCTTCCCGATCTTCCTTATCTGTCACAGTGACCGTATGACTATACACACTAGTACTAGCGCTACACCAAGCTCCACCTTTCGATGGGACCCGTTGGTCCGCACGATTCTCTTCTAACAGCTGCAGCGTGGTGGCCGACTTGCTTTTTAGTTCTTCTTTTGCCACAGTACGCTCCCTGCCTTTATTAGCCTCTTTACAACTCCTCCGAACCCTAACGTACTTTCTCTTCGTTCTCCGTGCAGAAACGATGGTGTTATCATTGAACGCCGGCGATCGACCAAGTAGAGGCGCTCCCACAGCCGGCTTTGGAGCGATGGGTCGGAATCTTAGCATCAGGCTGTTGATCATCGCCTTATCCTGCAAGCCACCGGCGCATCTCGTGGAACGCCATGCCTCCCCACCATCCATATTTATCCTACCCACCCAGCACTATTAAGACCAGCTCATGGTTGGATCCAGATTTATGTCTCTCTCTCTCTTCTCGATCTGCGGGCGCGTGTGCAGGTTCTGAGGCAATTATTCTCTTCGCTGAGGGCTGAGAGAGAGAAACAGTTGGGGCCAGGTCGCTACCAAACTAGACAGAAGGGAGCGATGATAGGGGGAGCAAAAAGGCGAAGGCGAAAGGACACGTGTCCAGCGAAAAAGTCCAATACCATTGGGTGGATTGGGTTGAGACCGACAAAAGAGATGGGCCCGGCACAATGGAGTACGCAGAGCCGGTCCCACATAAGGACCAATCAGAAACGAGAAGGTGTCCGGCACTGCCGAAAGCATGGTACACGTGGGCTGTTTCCAGCATGAAAGCCGTACTGTGGAATGAGGTGGGGAAGAGGGCCTTGGGGAGCTTCCAGAATAACCACACGTAGTTGGGCTCTATTCGCGGCCCTCCTCCTGGAATCGGTGATGCCGCGTCTTTCTCCACTCGAGAGCAGGGTCGTGGACTTCACGGCCCACTCAGAGGGCTATGTTTTATGAGAATCGTCAGGCGTGGACACCACGCGCGTGAAGGCCAAAGAATAAGAATGTTTAGAGATATTTACACCCAAAATTAATGGATGTACCATATGAGACACGTTGCAGTTTTGTAGATAAGCGGATCTCGGCTAAGATTTCGTATGTCACTGTCTCGCATTAGTTGTTACATCCCTGCCACGTACCCCCACCGCTCTCCCCCCACGTTATCAGTTTCTTCTTTCTGTCGCAAATCCTCCTTCATTTTATCACAAGTAATAATCCTAACTTAATCTCTCTTACGAGAAAATAGGAGATAACAAGGCCATCTTTTCCCAACCATATATATCTTACAGTGAACATCAAAAAGAGCCCCCTCGTAACAAAGCATTCGTAAATTCCATGCAAAAAGCGTAGTTAGATTACATCTTTTCGTAGATAACCAAAAACTTCGGCGATTTATATCTCATCAACAAATAAATGACAATCAAATCATCTTCAATTTAATCTGCTTCATTAAAGGAGTTCGCTTCTTTCTTCGTAAAAGCTTTCACAGCAGGGGATTCGTCCGTGTAATTGAATATGATGTACATGTACGGGCTTGATATATAACAGTGCAGAGCCTTTTTTTTGGTATTCTTGTCCAGTAAGGAAATTTTAAAGCCTATTTTGTTCGGCTTATTATTATTATTTGTGCTTGATGTCATTAGGTACATGTGTGCGTGTATGCGTGTGTGTATATATATATATATCCACACAGTACGTTTCCAGTGTGCTTTTGCATTTTTAGTGTTGATTATACCTATATTAAAATAAAATACATACTAATACATCTAACTAATGTAAGAAAAACTTAAATTAAATTGTAGTACTCAAATGTCATGAATAATATGCTTTATTTAGTCTATTTATTTAAAAACGACTTGCATATGAACGGATTCCATTAAGCACATATAAAGCATAAAATAATAGATATTAAAGGATTCCCCCCGGTTTTCCCAACGCCTTCCAAGTTTTCGCATTGGATGCTTAATTTATGATGGCTCAGTTACGTGTTGCTTTGAGACTCTTGCTTATTTTAAGAAAGTTTTTTTTTCTTTAATCTTACATATATTGAATATTTATCCAGAAACTTGCTCATTAAGCCTACTTGGCAATTTATCTAGCTTCATCTTCTATATGACAAATATGAAAAGACCCCACTTGATACTTTTCTCTGTGCTGCCTATCGAGTCCTTTCTCTCGTCCAAAATTGTGTCCCCCTTCTCAGTATTATCGACATCATTATTTTTCTATTACCCCTCCATTATCATTATTAAAACATGTACAACTTCCCTGCTGCTTCTATAGCTATTCGTAACAGCAAATATCGGGCCCCTACCCACCCAAATAAATAGCACTCGGAACTTGCTATCACAGCAACCGCTCCCCTTTTCTGCCCCAACCCTCTCCTCTTGGCAGAAAACAGCCTCAGGCCAGCTAGTTCCTCTTCCCCTCCCTTTTTTTCCCCCTCTCTCACCCTCTCTCTATCCATCTATATCTATTCTATATATTATAATATACACACACACATTACAATAGGAATAGGAATATGTCTGGGTATAGCAGAGAGCATACATTTTATTTAACATTATATTAGATTATTAGATTAATCACATAGGTCATCCCCCCAGTCTATTTAGCCCCTATGGAGTGTCAGCGGCAATATATATTACATAGTTAAGCTAAGGGGAGAGATGTAACTATACACAGATAATAATTCACCCTCAAGCCCGGGGGAACGGTACAATACTTTATGGGTAAGATAATTGCCAGTATTGTTGTTGTTCCTCCCGTTTACTAGCTCTTGTCCTCTCTTCAGTCCCAACCAGATAAGAGCCACGATCACTTCCCATCCCATCCCACCCCTAGCGCATAACCAGAGAGCTGCTAGCTAATAGCTATTACTTTTCATTTTCAACTTTCTTCAAACATAAAATAATACCTGATACATAGGCTCCGGCACTCTAATTCATCTCTTTCCTTCTGAATTCTGGTTTCTCAGAGACCCAAGCTCAGGGCAGCCTTGATGTCTAGCCTCCATGCAAAGCCACCGCAGTCCAATTTCCACACATCACACGGCACCATCTTCGTCCACTTCTCCTTCTGACACGTATACTGTAATCTCACCCCGCACGTAAATGCCTCGTATGAATAGATCACGTTATCCCTCACTTTCAACTTCACCACCACCTCCGGCGACGACCCTTCCTCGTCTTTCCCACTCACCATCCTCTTGTACGCCTCGTTCACCCATCCAACCTTGCCCGTACCGTCTGATATGAACCCCGGACACGTGTCGCTCTCCAGATTCTTCACCTTCTCAACATCCGTACTACCTAACCCTCCTACGTTCGTACACGTGTCCCCCACGCTCTCCACCGTCACCCACGACTCCACCACCCTCCGGACGCCGTTCAGGGAGCCCGTCGTTGCCCACAGCCTTGCCGGTTCAGGATTTCTCGGGATCTCAACTTTCTCCACTGTCACGTCCAGATCAACGTTCTTACACCATGAGGTCTCGGCGATCGAGCCTCCCGACAGTTCACTTTTCTCCGGCATCAACTGAAGAGTTACAACCGCGTTCTCCGGACTCTCTCGCATCTCAGATCTCTCAAAAGATCTGTTATTATTATTATTATCCTTTCTCCCACATCCAGTGTTCCTCCGAACCCTAACGTACTTTCGCTTCGCTCTCTTGCCCGAAAGCAACACCTTACTCGTGTTGTCCGGCACCGCAGCTCCGGAGGCAGAGCCTCCGGCGACCGGTTTCGGCGCGATCGGACGGAATCTGAGCATTATTCTGTTAACTACGGTTTTATCGCGAGAAGCATCCCCGGGGGCACGCGCGGCTAGGTTGCTCCATACATCTCCACCGTCCATCAACCAACGGGAGTTCCTAATCTGAGGCGCGGATCTCTTGAGAGTGTGAGCCAAGGTCGCTTGTTTTCGCTCTGTTGCCGAGAGAAGGGATGGGGGAGCAGGGAGGAAACGATAATGATAACGGCAGCGCGGTGGCTGGGTGAATAAGCAACACGTGTCTAGGGCAACAGAAAACAGTAGAGGGTTGTGATTGGATGAATTTTAATTTACGTGGGCCCCGCTGGGAAAAAAAAAAGTGGCGTATCTGGGAGGCGTAAATCGAGGCCTGTGATTGGTCCCACGGCGGAGCCAATAAGAGACGCGATAGTGTCCAGCACTCCTGGAAAGAGGAGGGGCACGTGGCATCCTCACAGCGAGCACCATATTCTCTATTGGGAATACGCTTTTCTCTACTCGAGGACCTCAGCACGTGCTTCCCTTTGATTGGCCAGTAACAACCTCGTTGCGCTCTCAAACAGTTGACTCTTCCTTATCTGTCACTCTCTCAATGGGCGCGTGCCGTAACGTCCCTTTCATAATATCTTTGTGGATGGTGCATTCTTATTGGTCTATCTATTTGGGCCCCAGCTACGAAGTGACCTGCCACAGTGCTTGAACCGCACTCGCTTGGGCCGCAGCGTTGAATGTGTAATTGCTGATAAGTGAGTGGGTATGCATCCGCACTTTGCTCTGTTTGGATCAGTGTAAAAAAAACCGGACCGGACCGGCCGGTTCAACCGGTAAACCGGTGAACCGGTCAGTGGTCCGGTCTGGTTCATAAGCTAAACCGGGGACCGGTTCAAACCGGATTGAACCGGTCAAACCGGTGTGAACCGGTGAAACCGGTAAAAAACCGGTATGAACCGGTATTGAACCGTTTTTAAATAAATATATTGATATTTATCGTATTTTTTCTCATTTAACTCCTAATATCTCAATTATTATAGATTTAAATGAATTTTGATGATGAGTTTGGCATCAATAACTATTAATTTTAGTTATTGAAAAAATTATAAAGATCAAAATTCTCAATATTGTTGTACTTTATTATTATTACAATCAAATTCTTATTGTATTTCTTTATATTTTGTTATTAGTAATTATTATTATTGTTATATTTTGTCAGTTTAATTAAATTAAATTATTTTAATATGACCGGTTTGATCCCGAGTTGACCCCGGTCGACCCATTAACCCTTGAACACTACCTCAACCGGTTTAGTGTCCGGTCCGGTTTTTTGTTCCTTGGTTTGGATAGCACCCCAAACCATGGTTTGGGGAAAATGCTACCCAAACAGCCTCTCCAAAAACCAAAACATGGTTTTGGGTCAAAACCATGGTTTTGACTCCAAAACCATGGTTTTGGAAAAAGAAAAAGCAATTTTTTTGCTTTTGGAGAAAAAAAGGGAGAGTGTGTGGGCCTATATGATATGTATTTTGTTATTTTTTTTATAAACATATTTTTTTATAAATATATTTAATCTTATATTTTATAAATATATATAGACATTAATTATTTATTAATTATTTATCTTATGTATTATTAATTATGTTGGTAAAAAACATATTATTAACAATTTTATTTCTTCAAATTAAAATATATCATAAAATCTATTTTTTTCTGTAATTATCATATTAACTTATGTCTTTTTTTAGTAATGTATATATAAAAAGTGCTTCTGATAACAACTATCCAAACACTCTCACTTCTCAGAATCACTTTTTACAAAATCTATTCTTCACAGAATCTATTTTTTCCAGAATCTATTCTCCAGAATCACTTTTCCAAACCACGGTTTGGTTTCATCCAAACACACTCTTAACTGAACGCTGGACAAAATAACGAAAGCTCGTTGGTAATATTAGGAGGGGAAATTATATTTTAACACCAAATAAGAAAGATCGCATTCAGTTCAAATATAAATATTGGGTAGTAACTGCAGAACTAAAGAATGGAGCTATTATTTATGGCATAAATTATGAATTTTGGGAAACTATTTAATATCTTTTCAATATGACAATATGAATATCATCTTTTTTATTTAGTTAACATATCTTTTTTAATCTTTTAATTTTATATAAAAGTTTTAATTTAGTTTCTTAACTTCAAAAATATTTTAAAATTTTAATTTTAAAATTCTCAACAAAAAATGATAATATTAAATTTTAAATGTTAATAAAATATTCTGCAAAGTTAATATATTGAGTTTTATTTTTAAAATAACCAATATAATCATTTCAAACCAAGACTAATAATTTCATGACTAAAAATAAATTTTTTAAGGTGAAAGAATCAGACTAGGTTTTGTATAAATTAAAAGGCTCAATGTATGTTTTAATTATGGGAAGTACTCCCACAGTTCCTAAATTTTAAACTTCAAATAATAGAATTATGTTTAACAAACTAGTAGTTAAAATTAGTTTTAAATAATTAATTACTAAAAATGTATTTTTTATATATTTATCATTATTTATTAAGAGAGTAAATGGGAGACAGCAAATAAAAAAAATATGAGTAACATTAATAACAAAAAAATACTAAATAAGTCAACTAAAAATAAAATTGAAAAATAATAAATATTTGAATAAATTTAAAAATAAAATTTATATTTTAAACGAGACTCCAAAACTTATATATAGAATCTAAGGAATATAATTTTATTATAAAGAAACAAAATAAATAGGAACGCTAATACTAACCAAAGAGACAACCGAACCAACGCAAGAACTCCGAACCAACAAAGCAAGACGGCGTCGAAATCAAAGGCAAAGACCAGACAAACATCGAAGCTACTACCCTGCGAATTAGACAAGAGAAGACTAGAGTCCCCCCCATTTTGTTTGTAACGACCAAGGAACAAAAAACCGGACCGCGTATTGAGCCGGTCAAGGAAGTGGTTTAAGGGTTAATGGTTAGACCGAGGTCAGACCGGGGTCAGACCGGTTATATTAAAATAATACAATTTAATTAACAATGACAAAATATAACAACATTAATAATCACTTATAACAAAATATAAAAAAATACAGCAATAATTTAGTTACATCACATAACAAAATAATTGAAAATATTCATCATTACAATCTTTTAATCATTAAAATTCAAAATATTATATTTGATATAAAAATATTTGATTATAAAATTTTTACGTAGTATAATAAAGAAACTGCATTCATCTCATTGTTTTGCAAGACGGTCATTTTTTTTATTATAAAATATGTATTTACAATTTACATGTCATGGGAGATAAAAAAAAATTAAATTAAATGAGGCTTTGAAAAACGAAAAAAAAATGGATAGAACACGTTATATTAGGCCTGCAAAATAAAGGCTATACATAGGGTCTAACACTTGACTTTAATTTGCACAGGCTTTTTATTTTGTTGGACAGAACACGTTATACTAGACCTCAACTTCTGTTTCTTTCTCCACCGTCTTCTTTTTTTGATTTTTTCGACTTCATGTCTCTTCTTCCTTCCACCTTCCTCCTCCCCCCCTCTCTCTCTCTCTCTCTGTGAAAAACTCACTTCTTCTCAATGGGTTTCAAACAAAGCAACAAGGATGTGGCTCTCTACAAAAACAATCGGCAAGCTCCTCTCCTCTCTTTGTCTTTCCCTTTCATCCTGCTCTTCCTTTTCCTCGCTTTCATTCTTCTTCTTTCAAGTCTGATACGTTTATCTGTGGCTCTTCTCTTTTTGCCTCTTCTTCCTCCCGTAGGACATGGAAAAAAGGAAAAGACCGGACAACCCACCTCAGCCGGCGGTTATCCGGTTTTAAACGGTTTTTTTACCGGTTTAGCCGATTCGTTTCCGGTTCCTTTTATGCCCGGTCTACCAACCAAACCAGACCGGACTGAAGACCGGTTCACCGGTTTTTCGGTTGAACCGGCCGGTCCGGTCCGATTTTTTTTACCTTGGTAACGACTTCAAAACGGCCCGTGTTTAATATAAAAATTTATTTAATTTTTATTTTGATTCTAATTATAAAATTCTAATATATTTTATCTCTGATATTTATCAATTTTTTTTTCAAAATAGTCCTTATAATAATGGTAGTTCTAGGCAATATACTTGAGTAACAAGAATATTTTAAGAAAGACGATACCTATTTATTACAAATACTCTTACTAATCATGCATATTAACAAGGATAGTTTAATATGTATAACTACTATAAGGAGTACCTTAAAAAAAAATAAAATGAATTGGGATTTTATTAGGATTAAATTAAAAGTTAAACAAGTCCTTGTATTAAAAACTGAAAGTAATATAAAGTACTGTATACATATACGAGCACAGGAGGCACATGCACGTATCCTATCCAATTTAGACAGTCTTCATATTTGTGGAAACAACAGATGTGGATCCATTACCTGTCATACTTCACAGAGCATGAAGCCACTACCCAAAATAAGTAAACAACCAACCAACTTATTTTATTTGGGTCAAAAAGTAAACAGCCAATTAGTTGCCGTGCCCCAGCCTGTGATGGGTTATTGGCAAATTAACACAAACGGTGCACAACCGAATAGCTTCTTCTGAGTTGGCCTCTGGTTACATCAGTCCAATTAATTAAACAGCCTCCTTTTTCATCTCATTCGTCTCTAACCAATAATTGTCTTCCCAGGTGATCATACATGGTTTTCGTGATTTTCCATGAAGAAAATCTGGCAAACTTTGACCAAATTGTCCAATCTCAATCTTCCTTCCTCGTGCCTATCCACTACTCCTAAGAATAATGATTTTTTTTTTAACTGTTCGTCTTCTTTTTCTTTTTCCTAATAACCTTCACATTACCCATAAACATGGCTCATTATATATTCTACACGCGCGCGCACAAGCATGAGGTCCATATTTAATTTTTACAAATAAACACACTTGTGAACGCACATATGATCTTAGTGTGATTTAAACTGAAATTGCAATTGATGGATCTTTAATTGACGCAGAATTATTTTTTTTTGGTTAAGCACAAATATTCTTGGCTCGAGACCCTTGATTCCATGCATTATGAAGAACTAAAAAGGTGTTAGAATAAGATTAAAACTATAGTTTTAAAAGTATTTTTACGGTATACAAAATAAATATATGGAGGAGTTTGTCTCGATTTACAGAAAAGTACTTTTGAAAAGTGATTCTTGGGGTATCCAAACACCCCTTAATTCTTTTTCGTTAGACCAATCCCCATTTGTTCATACAGAAACATTATAACAGTGCAGATTGCCTTTGCCAACTTATGAGGGAGAGCTCAGGGCCAGAAATGGACAAATGCACGTAATTCATGTAAGTTATTCTGGCAGAAATTGATGAATGAAAAAAAAAAAAAATAAAAAAGTGTCTCATCGACTTATTATGTTTAATCCAAAATGAACGTCAACATTAGCCCCAAAAGCGATCCGCTTGCAAAAATCAAGTGAATGTAGTGACTCGGACGGTTTTAAAAATCACGGGCCCGAGAAGGGATATCTTTTAGACGGCAAATATATCTCACATATTGGGGGCCCATTATTTCTGTTTTAAACAACAAAATTGAACAAGCTTCCAGCCGCTTCATGAACCGCCGGAGTTGAACATATTTCAGGCATCTTATATAGCCACCGGGGAATAAGTGAAAATGAAGGTTGAAGGCAGTTAGTTGACGACATCAACAACCAGCTTGCGAGAC